ATAGGGATTTTGAGAGTAAAAAGTTTAGATATAATATCAATTCTTATCTTGAGGTTCTTAATAGAGAACTAACTCTCATTTGAGAGGAATTGAATGAGGAATATTAATTTATACAGAATAATACTCTTATATATTATACTTATAGGATATTAGATTGGTTTTAAAAAAAAATTATTCCTTTAATCAATCTCTGATTTCTTTATAATCCCAATCTCAATCCTATAGAATATATTTAATAATATCTAAAAGTATATATATTTCAAATATTTCCGGATATTGTAATAAATAAAAGCAAATCGGAATATACTTGTTACGTAAGCGGACACAATAGGAGTTGTAAGCTTTACCACTACGCCACACACGCAATCTGTCCAAAAGGCACAGTATCAGGGATTGTTTCCTGATAGCTTACTACTATATATATATCCATATAACACTAAGGGTATTTAGACGTGCTAAGATAAGGAACTATTTGAGCGGCATAATCGTCACAACCGAATTTAGCAATTTAATTTCAATACCAGAGGCTATTCGCTCCTCTACGGGTACGATCCGCTTCTGTTTCCAGAAGGGAACGTCTGATCCGGATTGTTGTTGAGGTAGAGCTTAGTTTCTGGGTGGATAGGCTTGTTATGAGCTTCGATCCCTATAATAGAGGAAAAAAAGCGAAAGTAGATTGCTATTTGTTTAGCTAAGCAGCAAGACTCTTGTATTATATATTAGATTTGCGGTTTTTAAAGATATAATATATTCAAATGATTAATTAAATAGTGAGTTTATAAGGGATAAATAGTAAGCTTTATTGAAAAGATTATTGCTTTTTAAGAATCCTTTAATAATTAGAATAGATCTGAATATAGAATTCTGAATCAATGATTAGCTAAATGAGCTTGCTAAGTATATGTAAGAATTTCTTGATATATATAATCGTCTATTTGTTAGATTACATTTCTATAGGAGTAAGGGGCCAGTCTGAATGCTTTAGATTGTTTATAATGTATTTAAAGAAGTAATATAGTTCTTAGTACTGTTGTATAAGCAATCCAGCTTATTGTTTTGATAACCAAATCGCTAATGGTAAACGGTATAATCGCTGTAGCCTGTTTTTATAACTATTAGTCGATATAAGACTGCTCTTGATAGAATTAGTTCCTTTAGCTTTTCTGTATTGTATTTAAAAGACCACTCCTTATAGCCAGCAGAGAAAGAGGAGTTCATCTCTTTCTATTAGGTAGATTCTGTATATAGGCGTTTCTGACGAATGATTGTTCGGATCTCATTAATTGTTAATAGTTTGTCGATTGCTTGGTCTATAGGCTCAATTGCACCTGCGATTGCTAAGCGATCTGCTTCCTCGTTGCCTTCGATCTCCATATATCCAAATAACCACTTTATCCTGACATCGAGTTGTTCATTGCTTTGTAACACTTGTAGAAGGCTCATTGCGTTGTGGGCGGCGGAATTCATTAATATCAATATTCAATTCAATTATTATTATTAAATCAATTATTCAATATTTTACTTTAAAATTTGAATATATTCTTAATCTATATATACATATTAATAATATATATAGTTCCTTATCTTAGCACGTCTAAATACCCTTAGAGAGGTCCAAAACAGACGTTAATTAATATAAATAAAATAAATAAATAAATATTAATAATATAGAGTTTTATTAAAATATTATAATACAGTTTTTTAATATTTAATATATTAGTTATTTATTATAATATAAACTTTTGTTCTGTTCCTTATACTTACTTTTAAATTTATAAATAAACTATTATTCAATATATCCCAAACTGTTTGCAAAGCACTTTCTAGCCTTTATCTAGTATTGTTATATGGATATATATATAGTAGTAAGCTATCAGGAAACAATCCCTGATACTGTGCCTTTTGGACAGATTGCGTGTGTGGCGTAGTGGTAAAGCTTACAACTCCTATTGTGTCCGCTTACGTAACAGAGTATCAGGGATTTTACCTTGTGGATATCGTTCTGGGATCTCTGATTCGGGCTTTTAATTGGAACTGGGTTAACAACCAATTGAAAAGTGGATCGAATTAGGGACGAGGATGTATCTGCTTAATGATTGGATATTCTGAATTCATTAATAATGGATTATTAATGGTGAGGGTATTGGATAATAGAAGAGTGTTATTCTATTATTACAAATCATATGGTTGACTATAGTATAGTATAATAGCCCCTGTACTAGCCTTTTCGGGACGAAAAGGTTAAAGAGGAGGGCTCTGTTATATGGATATATATATAGTAGTAAGCTATCAGGAAACAATCCCTGATACTGTGCCTTTTGGACAGATTGCGTGTGTGGCGTAGTGGTAAAGCTTACAACTCCTATTGTGTCCGCTTACGTAACACTTAGGGAGGTCCAAAACAGACGTTAATTAATATAAATAAATAAATAAATAAATAAATAAATAAATTAATGAATAAATAAATAAATTAATGAATTCCGGGTAACATCCGGTCGGCTAGTAGCAGTGCGTTAGTACTGTACGTCAGTGAATGACATGCAAGGAGTAAATTGTAATCGCTGACAAGTATTGTCTAGGCCTCTTCCTGCCTAACCATAATATAAGGCCCATGAAAACCGCATTTATACGGCCTCGACGGTAAGAATGGGTATACAGATTGGTCGAGTAGGCAATTGCTGTATACACTTCTTTAAAGACTTAAATTGTCTAGTTCTACAACTTTCTCCACTCTCGCTTCTATCTCACCCATGTCATCATTCTTCAATCAGCCAAAGTTCATCCTCCTGCTTGCATAGAGAATCAATTACGAAACTCGACATTCTCACTTTTTTTCCACGTGTACATAGCCACTGACGATAAACTCAGTGCATTCCCAATCTGACATAGCACGAAGTTGATCTGCAAACCCATCATCTGTATGGTCGTTAGCCGAAAGCTTAATCATCGGAAGCTGAGCTTACTCTTATATCAGCCACGTTTTCAACTACATGCATGCCTAATTAAGATTAGTTTTCAGCCTTGCTACGGGTCGGCTCTAAGTTGCCCTCTTCTCAATCAAGGAATTATTAAGTTGGTGGTAGAAATTTTATTTTTCGGATGTGTGATGAGTATCAAAGTCTGGGATAATCCAGATCAACTGAGAAGAAATGTCGAGGATGGAAGAGTATATATATTGTTGGGAACTTCTTGTTAATATTTTATTTGTTCATTCCCTCCATATTGATCAATTAGCTGCAGTTCAAGCTTCTCGAGTCTTCACTGTAAACCAAAAGTTTACAACAGAGTTATCTATTCTCTACTCGCTGCTCCAAAAACTCTAGTCGAGAGCCATATACTTCTTTTTTTAAGCTAGCATTTCGTCGACCCAAAAGATAAACCATGACCATTACCTATCGCAACGGTGTTGAAATTGGAGAACTAATTGTCTATGTCCCTTCTCTCCTCCTCTCCGTCTTGCTTGCTTTCCGCCACGGATTCGGCCGCAGTGCAGGCTGGTACTTCCTCATAATCTTCTGTCTCGCTCGCATCATTGGTCCCTGCATGTCTCTCGCCTCCATATCTTCTCCCTCAGTATCTCTCTACACCGGCGCACTCATTCTGCAAACCATCGGCTTATCGCCTTTGCTGCTCACTACCCTGGGACTCTTAAGTCGTGTTCTAGACAGCATCAATCGAAATACCCATACACTCATCCAACCTCGCATGCTGAAACTCATCGAGATACTCACATTGGTCGGGTTGATACTTGGTATTGTGGGTGGACTTAACGCAAGCGATGCATACACTTCAACTGGGAAATGGGTGCCGGGAACAGAAAGCAAAGTTTCTAACATCTTGTTTATTGTCTCATTTGTGGCAATCATAGCCACCACAATCCTCACCAGTTTCCCGATCTCACATGCGGAAAAGGGAGAGAAGAGGATTTTGTTGGGGATTGCCATTGCATTGCCATTCCTGTTTGTTCGACTCTTGTATTCCGTTCTCTCGACTTTCGTGTCACACTCTACGAAGTTCAACGCTCTCAATGGAAGCGTCACGGTCTTATTATGTATGGACCTGCTTGAGGAATTGGCTATTGTGGTTGTCTATTTGGCAATTGGAGTCACATTGAAAGTTAAATCTAAAGACGTGGTTGCAGATCCAGAGATACAACGGGTTTCGGGGACTTCAGATAGTGATGTGCCACTTCGACAAAATCAGCAGAGACAAACACAACAACCGAATCAAAAAGCAGGAGCAGAAAATGTGATGTTGAGGATTGCGAAGAAGACAATTATTGGGAGGTTGGTAATGGCATTCATGCCGGAAAAGAAAGCAGATGTGGAGATGCAGCATTATGTTCAAAAGTAAAGAGGTGTGAGTTAGGAGGGGTTTGAGGAAGCTGTTTGAGTCTGCTCATTTTATTATGTGTTTTTGGCGTTGGTGTTAGAAAAGATGGTTTGGTTTGATGCTATCGGTCTGTGAAAGAGTTAAAGATTCCTTCGTATATACCTCGTTTCTCTCTCTATAGACTGTATATGTTGTAGTATATTCCAATGAGCATTTTAAATCCTTGACATGTGTGAGTGGCTAGTAAGGTTGTGTATCACGTTGAATATGTGATAGTAAGTAGTCTAACAAGACCAATATAGCAATCAAATCGCAAGTCCTGACCATTTTCACATAATTTTCTTGATCATTCTCCTGTATTTCAAATCTCAAAACACCTAATTTCACACATCAAAACAAAGGCTCAACATTGTCATGGAGGAACGGTATTCCAAAGCATACTGTCCAGTATATTCCACACTGTATTCTTATCCATTTGTCCATTAATCAATTTATTAATCATCACTATTGGGCATCTAATGTGACCAAAAAAAGCTTTCCGCACGGAGGAAAACCCTAGAGTGCATACATGAAACACATCTATCGAATATGAGTCAACGAATCCCATGAAAACCCAACACCCCCTTTTACCACTCACCATTCACCAATTACCCATAACCCAAAACCTTTCACAAAGGCAAGAACCCACCACCCAACAACCCCAACAACGCATCTCCTTCTTCCCTCCTCATCTCCTCAACCCCCTTCTCCACACTCTCCACCTTCCTCACAATCTCATCCACTCTCTCTTCCTCCTCCTTTTCCTTCGATTTCTTCGCAATCCTCTTCTTATGAAAATATCGCGAACTAGTGCGGACACGTGTCCCATCCATCTTATATCCCCGACTCGTCTCCTTACTATCCATGCTATATCGATACTCTCCTGTATCGAGATCGATTTCAGTGCGACGCTTGGCTTTCATGTTGAGGGAGATGCGGTCTCGGACGAAGGTGTATTGACGGTAGCCTTCGATTTCGGGGGGAGGTGGTGGCCAGGTTTGCTTGGAGGATGAGGCGGCGGTGGGTGGGAAGAGGAGATACTCTGGGGTGTGGGGACGGAGATGGGGTGGTGGGGGTGAAGAACGGGTTGGGGTGGGATGAAAGAGGCTGTGTGGGGGCTGAGTGGGATAGGAGACTGAGGCCCGGGAGACAGAGATCGGATTCTCTGTGTACGCATTGTCGTCATTGTCGTAATCTTTCGTGGGGTCGAAGTGGATGAATTCGAGGGAGAAGTTTGGGGAGGCGCTCGAGTAGGATAGTTCTTGCTGCGGTGGTAATTCTGGAATGTAATGTGCTAGAACGCCGATATCTAAATTTAAATTTTTAGTGGGTAGTCTAGAGTAATTGGTTAGATCTTAATACTTGATGCAGAATCTGATGCTCCATCTGCTTGAGCGGAAACTGGAGCTGTAGGAAAGAATGGTTTTTTTGTGCTATTCTTCTTGGCAATGTGAGCCGAGAGGACATTTTGGGCTCTAGTGCTGAAGATTGTACCGGGTAGTGGGTTTTCGGGAATCAACATTCCAGACTGAGGACTGGCCGCATCTGAAAAGGTAGTTCTGCCATTTATGGTTTTGGGTGAAGGCAGAATTGGTGTGTTGGTGGAGCTAGAGATAGATCTGGTGATTCTTCTGGAACTCATTGGCAGAGGATTGTTTAGAGCGAAGTTCATGTCTTGATCTGTAAAGTCTTGTGAACTTAATGCTGAGGATGGTTATGTCCATTACAAACCAGATTCAGGTTGAAACGTACGTATAAACCCCATATCGTCACGAATGACAAAAGGATTGTTACTCAAATGGCCTGGTGCTACAGCAGAAGTAACAGACGAAGGACTTTGCTGCACAGAAGCGTTTGGTGTAGCAAGTTGGGTTCTATGGCCAGTTTTCGATGTGCTTGTTGAGGCATTTGCAGCAACTGGTGTCAAGCTCGATTCATTTTGTTGATCTCCCTGATTATCAGGTAGTGTTGATAACGAGTGGTGGATATTCGAGGTTATGCGAGTAAGCTCTGTTTCCTCTTCTTCTTTGCGTAGGAGAAAGAGTTGTTGTCCCTCAGACGATATGGCTGGATGAAAGGGAGGACTTGTAGGATCATATGTATTGCCAGTTGAGCTTGCGATCTGTCTATCTTGGTAGCCTTCTTCATTTAATGGCTGTAGAAGGGGTTTGTTTGTGGAAGGAAGAGGGGAATATTCAGAATAATTTCCAGGAGACGACATTATGGAAGTTGGATGTCCCCAAGGGGCGTGTTGACGAGTTGAGTCTGAGAACGTAGTTTGGCCGAACCGATTTGTTTCCAAGGTAGCGGAGGGATATGATTGATGAGACGCATGGGCATGAAGAGGATTTCCCATTGATGTATTACAATCTGTCGATTCACTCTTCCAATTTGGAGTGTAATTAGAATGGAAAATTGGTGGCTGTACTGGGACTCTTGATTCACCACAATATTTGAAGGGACATTGGCACAGGACATTATATCCCGTGCTGGTTCTCCTCTTTCCGGGACATACGGCATAGAGTTTGTAGAGGCTTGGATTGAATATGGCTTGCATATTGATGTTCTTGAGCTTTTTGATGCAATGGCCATGGATTATAAATACCTCCACTAGAGGTGTGTGGTGGACCTCCAGGAACTGGGGTGGTAAATGTAGATGTGCGATTATTAGTTTGCTGACCAGATTGTGCAAATCGTAATGAGGCTAATTGTGCATCGGGAGATTGGAAGTGATTACTAGCAGGCTTGTTGTTATTGTCATTTTGAACTGATGAGATACTAGCACGTCGAGGAGTTGGTGATATCGAAACACCCCTTGTCATCCAAGGTTTCTGAGGAGATCCAGCAAAAGCATTTGACGTAGCATTGATGGAAATCACTTTCTCTGCAGACGTCCATTGTAAGGGCTTTTCTTTCGGTGTTCTTGTAGGATGTTGACTGGCCCTGTATTTAACTTCACTGATCCCACATGCCGCAATATTCCTGACGGCTGAAAATGGTTCCCTTCTAGGTGCTTGGCTGAAATCTGGTTCTGCAAATATCTGCGCCCAGAGTAGTCTCCCAGCTTCTTCAAGCCCTTCAACATAGCCAGTCTTCTCATATGCTCTCAACAATTCATAGATTCTTTGACCATTTGGAGAGGTGTCGTTAAGGTTCTTTCGAGGCTCAAGTGGAAGTGCATCGATAGCCCGTAGTTCATTGACTGATTTGGCTTTGTTAGTTCTTGATTTGAAATGATAATGAATGGTGCAGAACTAAGAAATGTGAAAAAAGGAACATACCTGTTGGTGGGCGATGAAATTTATCTCTAACAGCTTTTATATGACGATCTCGAAGAAGACGCGGTACTTCATCTCCATCTCCAGGCATTTGGGCAACGTTAATGCAAGCTATTTGTTTGCAATATCTGTCGATATAGAGAGAAGAGAGATTTGGTGGGCAAAAAAGACCCAAGTCATGCAAAGTAGGTATGCGACTGAGCGAAGGTATTGCACGTGTTTCTTGAGGCAATGCGTATAAACACATATGAGAAGAGGCTACAAGATCTAGCAAAAAGGTCTTGAGGATACCATACGGCATGCCACCTTACCGCTTTTCAAAAGACGGATCAATACGGGCCCGAAAGTGAAGAGATAGATGTGACGAGAGTCTATCATCCAATCAACCCAACCCCTCCATATTCACTTTCGCTTCTCTCCAATATAGCCCCAAACAATGTCATCAACCTCGAACCAAATCATCAAGTGGTGGTTTAGTTCAACGGTCAAGTGGCCGACTTTGCTATACAATCTTTGCTATACCCATAACTTGCTACAAAGCTGTTGCTATACCCCACTAACCATAATTCGTCCTCATCATCAATGTAAGTGTGTTATTTCTTTTGCCTTTTTATACTAGATACCCACATGCGCTTCTTCATTTTGCCAACCTTTTGTGTTGGAGGTGGAGTGTGAGGTTATTTTTTGATGCGTTGATGATAACCGTTACAGGATAAGCGACGACGTTGATGTAGTGACTGGTTGGATCCTAAAAGCATTTGCGAGATTAGTGGGTCTGTCTACGGTTCGTAGGAAAGTGAATTCGACAATGCAAGTAATTTCATGCCTTTTAGATGCAGTCTCAACGTTCATGATCTTCCATGTCCCATAGTCAATCGCCATGTCTTTGCATGTACTTATCAATTGAATAATCTTAGAATAAATTTACTTTTGAATTTCCTTCAAATTCCAGAGATCTGATATTAGATTGCACGTAAAGAGATAGTGTTTACATGGTATCCATGAAGTGAAGAGGAGGTAGCAAAGAACTGATAATTTAGAAAACACGCTATACATAAACATATCTTCTGCATCCTTGACAGGCAGGGTATACATGCATACTACATGATAGAAGAAACAAAAATGGCCCCCAAAATACTGCAGCATAGATTTCGTTGAGCCTTGACCACAAAGTTGATGAAGTAAGCCATGGGAGGACATGGAATCAACTTACTTCATTCAGTGGCAAGCAATGATTTCGTTGTACATTGGTAGTCCTATACTATATCTCTCGACTCTTTATTCCGAAAAACTCCAGCGAATTCAAAATAACAATTGATCAGATCGTACTCCAAGCATTGTCAATAGGAAGTGCAACACCGTTGATAGATTTCGCTCCATCGCTTGCAAGGAACAAGATTGCTTCAGCGATTGCTGAAACGGCAACGTTGGGCATTTCGCCAGGCTTCATATGCAAAGCGAGAACTGGTCTATGATGTTGTCAATAAAAAAGATAGGGCAATGGATGACCCAGAAAAGCCTTACCCCCATACAGCGGCCGCTTCTTGATCAAAGGTTTCTTTGTTCATCGAGCTAGCCATGTTGGTCATTACACCTGTGACATGCGTTAGTGAGTGTTACAAAAGGAGTTTATCTTTGGGAGAAGGTGGTTCTGACCTCCAGGACAAATAGCATTGCATCTAATACCCTCATCCCTAAATCTGAATGCAGTATTCTTGGTCACACCCAGCTATAGCATCATTAGCTTCCACGACTCACGCTTCTTAGCCGGAATATTACGGACCAACCCATGCTTAGAAGCTGTATAAGCAACTCCTGACGCAGCACCACTCAATGCAGCTTTACTACATAGATTTATAATGACACCATTCTTCTTAGCTCTCATGAAAGGTAGAACAGCCCTGATTAGTTTCGTAGGAGCAGTGAGATTAATTGCAATGACGCGGTCCCAATCTTTATCCGTGACCTTGTCCGCTGAGGCAAAAGAGTCCATCACACCAGCTATATTGGCCAGAACGTCGATGGTGTCGCTAGAAGGTCAGTGTCTTTGAAAGGAGGTTGGATGTATGTATGTGGTTGATAGTTCAAGCCCACCGAAAAAGAAGAGTACTTACCCAAATCGAGCGACACAGATTCTCACAAGCTCATCGCACTCTCCATCTTTACTCAAATCCCCTCTATGAAATTGGAACTACTCGGATCCACATGTCAGTATCTGATATTCTCTCCCCTAAAAGTTCCACACCCTCGAAAAAGAGTGTAGCGTCCAAAAGCTTCAATCAATATTCACTCACCATCTCCTGGTTCTCCTTATCCAACAGAGTAGGATCCATCTCGCTCACATCGACACCTAATACCTTATACTGATGGCTCAAAAACAACCGAGTTGTCTCGAGCCCCATCCCACTTGCGCATCCCGTCACGATGGCTACCTTGTTAGATCCTTGCCCGTCAACCATGTTGCTTAGTTTTAATGTAAATAATTTTGCTTGAAAATATCGCTGATTGATTGATTCTAATTTGTTGAATTTTGGCTTCTTGATTTTCAAATCTGTGAGGTATTTATGTAAAAGTATTGTCGATACTACTGTGGTCTGAACTTTACTTGGGAGATGTAGAGGTCAGTTTCCGGATACGGATGATTCCTCATCCGAACTGTGAATACGAATTCGAGCCTTAACACCATTGATTCACGGAGGTTAAAGGAAGTACCGAGATTTAACAGCCGGAGGTTGTTAATAAGCCACCTGAGCTTTATTGGTTCACTACTTACACGAGCGGAGCTTCATCCAGATCTCAGGACATCTTGATACTCATGAAACTACCGGTCAATGGGTCGATCGAATGGCCAGACCGTATGAACGTATAGAAACGAACATAAACCCCCTATTTCGATAACCCCACGGAAAAAAGCAGCAAATGATATTCCAATTCACCTCACGATGTTGTGGAGCTCATTTCCGTCTTTGAAGACTTGGCGTACTGGACCATTACTGACTGACTGCATTAAAGAGTCGCGGTTCAATTAGATAGGGGAGTAGTTTTAAGGAGAATCCTGGGTCTAACTTCATCTTGCTTGTGATAGATATTCGAGGTGTTCTTGTGCAACATATTAATATGCAGCGAAATTGAGATGGACCGGGCGAGAGACAGATGTGGCCTGGCTGTGGCTGATTATCATGTGGAGAGTTGTGGCTGATTCACGGTTCTGCAGAATTTGTGAGTTTCAACATCAATCATTTGTTTGCCCAGGTGTGTCTAATAAGCTTGCGATCCATGGATGGGTATGACCAACTAAATTTCTTAATCCCCTTTATTAATGTTCCCAGCTACATTTTCCCTTAAGCTTTCGACGATTCCTCCATCTCCTTGATCTTCTCAAACAACCTCAAGAATACTGCAGAGTCTTGGGCACCACCAATCTCATATTTTCCCTGGACAGTGAAATTCGGTACCCCGCTAATCGAATTCCTCCTCGCCTCTTCAACCTCCCTATCAACCTCTGCTCCCCCCTTCTCACTCTCCAACCATTCATTGACTTCCATCTCGTCCAAACCAGCTCGGACTGCGGCATTACGCAACACTTCATGACTAGTGATATCGCCTTCTTCTTCGAAATACGACTTGAATAATGATTCCACTACTTTTGTTTCCATGGCTGGCGACTTTGTCTTTCCCAGTTGAATAAGGCGATGACTAGTTCTCGAAGCTCCTGTCTTTCCTCCAAACTTGAAATCGATACCGACATCTTTTCCAATTTCAGAAAGTCGACCAATAACTGCCGTCAGTCTCTCTTCTCCAAGGCGAGAAAGGAGGTATGCTCGTTTATCCACACCTATCCATGATGATTAATCTCAGAACATCTAATTGACAGAAAATGTGTATTCAAGAAAGAGCAATGACTTACCTGTTGTAGGCGCATCTGGAGCAAGGTAAAATGGATGCCATGTGATACTAAATGTATCATTGGAATCGGGATGTCGTTGTTTGTATGCCGTGATTCCTTGCTCGAGTTTTTGCTTTCCAACATAACACCACGGGCAGACGGTGTCGGAAACAATCGAAATATCAAATTTGGTCATTCTGGACAACGTCGCTTTGAACATCAATCAGATTGTACTTGAAGATGATGTGAAAGAAGACGAAAATAGAGAGGACAAACATAAGAACTACATATACTGCGAAGAAAATCAACACATGATGCACCAAAAAATGCAAGGGTTAGAACGAGGAAGCCGAGGAAGCCGATGATTACTCACGATGATGAGCACGATTAGAAATCAAGAAATCAAACGGCGACCCAGCCAGTTTTCCTCGGTATCCCGTTCGTACATGCCGACCGTGGAGTAGTCGATTATGAAGCATGATTCGATGCAATTATTATTAATGTATTACCGGTAACGTCAATTGATTTATGTGAGAGGGAGATTTGTAAGGATCGCAATGATGCCTACTTAGGTAACAAGTAATAAGCTAGGTATGGAGTAATGGAAGTGTCTGGAAATTTCTGGAGGTTGCAGGTGATGATTAATCATGATCACACGTGTGGCTCGTGGTGGTGGCTTGATAATTATTGAAAACCACGTTTTGTACTACCCACTACCTAGTAATGTTCTTAACATTCAAATCCACCTTCACTCACTTTCCTACAAACCCGGCACAAATCCCTCCACTTTTACATCCCAACCCTCGGGGAAATGCATTCCAGGCTCACCATCCCAGCCCCCTGCCATCATTGCTAATGCAAGCATCAATCCCCCCGCATTCGGGAAGTACGGAGTCGGCACGCGTGACCCTCCTACGGGATATCCAGCGTCGTCGAATTGAAAGATTGGATGTAAGAGGTACTCTATTGCTTGGTCTATGTCACCTAGACGGAGAGAGTTCATGGCCAGTAAAGCAAAGTCCCAACCATATGAATCCTCTAGATCCCAAAGAGAGTGGATTTTGGAGGCGGTGTTACTAACAATGGTCATATTGAGGGGAGGGGAGCTAGGGGGTGGGAGCCATCCATATATACCGGCCATTGCTGGATGCTATCATTGGGGTCAGGATTGGCAATTTGGAGTTCCAGGTGTATAGATCATGTAACTGTAAGATCACTCACATCAGATGTTGTTTTGTTGTCTGTCCACATGTTAGGAATACCCTCGTACACGGGATATGTGTCATTAACGATAGGCAGGGGAGCAAGATTTTCCCGCACATTCTTCCAATTCTCAGGGATTGACTTCCCCTGACGCTCTTTCCAACTCATAGCTACATCGAGACCAAATCTCCAGTACGCCAGCTCAAAGGTCGGGTTGATTGTCGCATTTGGGTTCGTATTCTCAGAGACGGGATACATTGGTGGGCCCAAATCATAGACTCCAGTAGTGGCATTATACCACGCGAACGATGCCATAAAGTCTGCTGTAGCTGTCAATACCTCATCCCACCTTTCAAGTGTCGTTTCATTTGGGAACGATCGGTATTCGATCTCGGCAAAGTACATCGGATGCGGTTGCTGCCAGATCAAAAGAGAGTTGATGCCCCCAGGAGCGCTGCGGCCGGTTGGGTCGGTCATCTTTCCCCAGCGGGCGCCCTCATATCCTTGAAGTCTGGCCCTGTCGAGTGAGGATTCAAGGAACTGCTCATACATTCCTGGTATGCTTCGCCAAACAAGGTCGAAATGATTCCATCGGGAAAAATGCATAAGATGCCAGAAGACCATCTCAAGCTAAACGCATGATTCTTAGCCATTGTTTCTAGCCAAACTAGGCTCATCATGCAAAAAATAAACACGAAGTAGATTGGGAATACGAACGTGGAATTTTCCATACCATCCATTATTTACAAGACCAGATTCTGAGACAATCAGTAAATCTTCGGAGAAAATCTCATCTCGCCACTAGTCTAAGGGCTAGTTTGGATGTAAAATCCGTGCTGAATCCGCTGAAATAATCTGCACTTTGTGCCATCGCGGATTCCGCGGTGGCATCAATCCGCTTCAAAAAGAGCGGATTATTAATCTGTGGTTTTATAGTTTGGATGTCAAATCCGCCAAATAATCCGTGGTTTTCTAGAATATTCAATTTAAACTTCAATTCGATATTAAAACCCCATATTTAAAATTGAGAACCATGTAAAAAGCTTTAATAGAGTAATGATCTTGAAAAAGTGCTTAGAATTGGAAAAGAAACACATTTTGATTTTATCTTTCTTCTTTCTTTTCTTTTCAAAGAAAGAACCTTTTTTGAAGTATTTTGAAGCTATTTTCTATATATAAAATTATTTCAATGGCCAATGATGCAATCATTACCCAAACACCTCGAAAGCGTCTAGGAAGTCGAAAATTATTGACGACGATGGCAATCGAAGGTTTATATCTGTACGAAAAAGAGGTAGAAGATCTCGAACTCGAAGTCCCTCTCCCCCAATTCGTCATTCCAAACGAAAGCCCAAACCTACAGCAAAAGCAACCGAATCTCAAAGCCAACTTCGAGATCATGATACCTCCTCCTCTTCTCCCATTAGAGATTCACTATCCAGCTCCTTCTACAATGACGACACCACCTTCAATCAGAAGAAGATACCCTCTACAAAAAAGAAAAGCTACACACAGGTATTTGATTCAAATAAAGCTTATTTTAATTATATTAATTTATAATATATAGCAGGATTCCGAAACCGATGAGAGGCTCTCAACAAACATCGATACAGACAGCGATGAGAACGATGACGACGAGAGGGATGTCGATAATAGCTACAACACCAATCAAGACCCAAAACATAACACCTGTAGTGGTTCAGAAAGTGAAAAGAACCCCTTTACCGACACCATTGAAAGGGAGGATAAATCAGTGGATCCGGAAACTGAGACCGAAGATATTTCGAAGAAATCTACGAATCAGTTCAAATGGAAACCCTACGAAAAGCTTCTTTTAAACTTAATGCAAAGTCATCTACAGAAGACTAGTCAACGACCAGGTCAATTCACTGGATGGAGAACACTTCATTATAGTCAATTTGCACAAGCTATTGCTTTAGAGCACAAGACACGCACTAATAGTAATGAGAATCTAACTGGTGATCAAATTAAAAAGAAAATCAATTCGGTATGAACATCCTCTTTTTTTATTGTTTATTTGATCTAATTGATTTGATTTAGATCAAGGGACGTTATGTAGAGTGTCGGTATCTTCTTAACCTATCTGGTTGGGGCACTAGATTCAATGAAAAGAACGACACTATGCAGCCTTATGCACCTGATCATCTATGGAAAACGCTTCTACAAGCAAGCGAAGCTAATAATCGAAAATATCGTTGGCATCGAAGTCACTATACAGAGAGCTGGTCGATTCTTCAATTTCTATTCGAAACTCGCACAGCTAGTGGTAAATTTGCATATCACCCTACAGCTTTAATGCAACAAACAATCGTTTCTTCGGATGAGGAGGATAATCTTGCTGATTCAATACGCTCTATACCTTTCTCAGATAAGAGCGCTAAAAGGTGGAATAAACATAGCTCTGGGACACACAAGGTAAGGAATTCATATTTTTGAGATGTATTTTATTATTAACTGATTTATAGTTAGAAACAGAGCGATATAAACAATCTATTGCGAGCTACACACCATCGAAAAGGCCTCGAAAACTGTCTCTTCTGAAGTTGCAGATAGTTTACTTCATATTAATGAATCTTTAAGAGATTTTAATAAATCGAGAAACCACTCTCTAGCGCCTTACATACTCAAGTCGACAACCCACTGCCCCTTTGCACCAAGCATACTATATGATCGCACAAAACTACCCTAGCAAATATGAGTCCCTAGGGGCTGATATTGCTTTCAAGCTTGTTGATTTCCTACAATATCCGGTGCCTGGTGTTCGCCAATCTTATGGTGAGCTGCTGATGTTTATGCGTATAGGCCCATTTCAAGCAGAGTTTGTGGATAAGATCTGTAGAGAGCTTAAAGAGCAGCACGAAAAGGAAAATAATGAAATGCCTCTATTATCCGCTCCTTTACAACAAGCTTTAAATGAAGGGTGGCTTCCAAGTTCTAATAGCTTTTGATTTGGCAGTTCTATTCACTCTGTTCTCTTTATTGTATGTTTTTATCAATGTAACCTTTGTATTTATTCAATTAGATATTAATATTATATCTTTCAATACCTTTGTCTTATTTGATATTAACAATATATGAGTACGAATGACACCTATTCACCAGCCCTAGGTATGTTGAAATAAAGAATATAAGTATGTAATAGCTGGCTAGTGAGAAATGGCGAGTGAGAAAACGGCTGGTGAGAAACGGCTAGTGAGAAACGGCTAGTGAGAAACGGCTAGTGAGAAACGGCTAGTGAGAAAACTGTAAAGTTTAGCCTCTCAAGTGTAATATCCACCATAACAGGGGTTGCCAGCTCCATCATTCTTCGAAGAAAAATGCTATCTGTGTCTTTAATAGTTTGCCTCTTTGCATGAAATGCACAATGTTGTAGCACTATAAATTAAATCAATAATCTACTCAATTGATAAATAGAAAGGATCGAAAACGCACTCTCAAATGAGTAATCATAAAGGATTCAGCTGCCTCTTGAATTGCTACAAGAGCAGCAGCATTCCACCTCCAACACTCTCCACCAAGTGCAAATTGATCGAAACCTCTTTACTAAACGTTGAAAGGGGCTTTTTTCAAGAGCAATTCGGTCGATTTTTGATACTTTTTAATCTCTCGTAATGCAACCGCTATACTCAATTAGTAAGAAAGAAGCTTAGAAATCAAGAAAAGGTTTACTTACTCCCCGCTTTCCATCGGTGAGCTCTTTTAGCAACTTCTGCTTTCCTTTTTTAGGCTGCTTTCTTGCACTTTGAACCTTTGCTTTCGAAGCTTTCTTTACACTCTTATTTTTAAAAAAAGGTGACCTTCCACCTACACCTAGCTCTTGTTTATTCGTTGATCTCTTTCCGATATTAGTACGTGACATAGCTTCCCTATGTAGTGCGTTTGTAGTTTATATTACAGCTACAGGATTTCCTGGAATGTAGCGCTTTCAAGGCCTAGATTTGAATCATTTCAGTCTATTGTAGAAAAGGTTTCAAATATTCAAGGGGTGCATACCTAAAAAGCTTCAAGAATGGGGGCGAAAGGAATAAGCGTTGAAAAATTAAATGTTTAGAAACGCGTGTTTGTGAATTAATGTATCACGTGTCGCGTAATTCAACCAATCATACTACTTATTTCTCATGGAATATAGTTATTCCGAATACGAAAATATTACAAACAGCACAAACAACGCGCTTTTAGGAACAACAATAACAACAACAATAATAAGCGTTATATTTATAATATTGAATCTCTTCTAAGCTTCAAAGAATCAAAAAGATGCCAGTAGTAACTAAATCTAATAAGAAGAAGCTACAGGGAAAGCAAGAAGAATATTCGCAAAAAGCGAAAAGCTAGAAATGCACGCAATCGAAAGGCAAGAATGACACCTAAAGAGCTAGAAGTCGAAAAAGAGAAAGATAGGAAAAAGCATCAGATTTCCTACGCTTTGAAAGTGCTTCGCAAAACTTCTGATTTTTTTAAAGGCATCGAAGAATAGACAAGATGAAATGGTTGCACAAACTCGATTGAATATCGAAATGCGACAATCCCAGTACGTGGATCCAAATGAAAATCTGATTTTAATTAACTTTATTTAGAAAAGCGTTGAAGGCAAAAAAACCTTGTTCAAAACAACGATAACCCTGTATCAGAGTCTGAATCAGATGATTCCGAAACAGATTTTGAGGGTTGGGAAGTCGATATTGACGAGAAAGAGGAAGAGGAAGAGGAGGAATCTGATGATAAAGAAGAGAACAATGAAGTTAGAGAGCTTGAAAAGATTGACTTGAAAGATTTGAATATCAATCAAGAATTAAAACAAGTATGAAGGTGTAATGTTTATTGGTTCTATAAATGCTAATATATAAGTTTAGGCAGTTGGACTTTCTGGGATTTTGATTTGGATTAGAGCTTGGAAAGCTAGCGTAGAGCAGTTATGACTAATTTAAAAGAGTCTAAACGAAAAAATTGATGAAGAATCTTCGGATTTTTCATGGGTGAAAGATTCGTCTGGGTAGGTTTATTTTGATTTTTTCTCACTAGCCATTTCTCCCTAGCCATTTCTCACTTACTATCCCTCACTTATTATTATATCAAATTATTATATATTAATAGAGTATATTTGTATCCTAATAACTCCCTCATAAAATATTCAGTCGTCGACAACGTGCTGTTTGGAGAAATCTTGCTTCTTGGAGCTCTGATATTTTGAAGCTAGAGGGAGAGAGTGATATCAAGCTTCCTGGACCTGAAGAATGGTGGACCTCTAATAAGAGCTATGATCCAAAAAGACATGGATTTTGGATTCCTAAAGATGGGGTGAGATATAAGCGAGCTTGGAATCTACTCCATTATACAGAATGGAAAGAAGATCTCTCTCAACTCCTTAAAGAATTCGAAGAAACGCCAGAAGCTATGGCAGAAGATAATGGTAAATGGAGAACCCTGATGATTACTTTCTATTCTAATTACATGTACTTATCAAATTCTATTTCAATACGGTGTTGCTTTTCTTTCTCTCGCGCTTTTCGAACTCTTTTCACCTTGCAATAATCTCTCCACATAGCCTCTGCAATTCCTTGTCGAAAGTAGTCCATAGATTGTGACGAAATAGAGTCTAATTCGTTACTGCTTGAATTCATTATTGTATCATCCATAGTGCTTGGAACACGATCGATGATACAATCAAATTGAACTTCGAATGGATCTTCTTCGAAGCTATTTTGTCGAATAAAGTTATGTAGAGCGCACAAAGCATAAACTATACGTATTTGAGTTGTATATGGGTATTTTGTTGTTGTGTTAGAAATGGAAAGCGCATTTTGAGTACTCCAAAAATTCTCTCAACCTCATTTCGTAAAGAAGAGTGTCGAAGGTTGAAAAGCTCTTCTGGTGTTTTGGGTGTCTTATTGGATCCCAATTGCTCTTGTAGATGATATCTTACCCCTTTGAATGGAGTAAGAACCTGCCCAGTATTTACATATCCTGCATCACCTAGATAATAATAACCTTCTGGAATTCGTAAACCTTTTGAAATCAAAGCATCTGAAAGCACCTTTGATCATTCGCAGAACCTTCCCAACCGGCTAATATATAGCAGAATTGTAAATTGAAAGTAACTACTGCAAGAACATTCTGTGCAGTATACCCTTTTCGATTGAAATAAGCAGATCGATCTTCGAAAGGTACCGTTGCTGGAATAAAGGTGCCATCGAGAGCTCCTAGGCAATTCGCAAAATATGTACGATATTTTTCATCTTCTGCTACTCGAGGAAGAGCGAATTGTATAGTTGGATCCGGTAGCTTTACTACTAATGGGTATAATATCATTATAGCATCTAAAACTTGATAAAACCATCTTAAAGCGCATTAGAATAAACCAATAAGTAGATTTATATAAGGTGTTTTTCGTACCTATGGATTGTTTCTTCAGAATGAGAAAAGGCTTCAGCTGTACTACGTATAGTTCCACGCTGGCCTACGATATAGAGAAATACGTATAGTTTTTGATCAATTGAAGCATATTGAGAGTGTTGTAGCTTTGTTTTTTCGTGACAAAACTCGATCAAAAGTCGAAAAGTGCGTAGAGGCATACGCAGTTGTTCTTGACAACGTTGAGGGTGTTTAGAATCAAGAAGAGATTGTGTTTTAAATTCACCAGGAGTACCAGTTCTTTTTTTCGAAATTGGAGTACAATAAAAAGAGCCAATAACAGCAGCTAAATTATAAATCAAGATAGGAATAAACTGTTCAGAATCATCAACCTCATCGTCGTTCATTGTGAATAAGAAAAAGGCAGTTTACAATCTAAATCATTAATAGAATCTAAAGCTATAATAGAAAGAATATTGAAGAATCTACTTTTAAACTAAGCTATATATATTCTAGTATGTGGGGAATAGAAATGTAAAGTAATCTAATCGAAATCAGAGACGATTTGAAGAAAAATAAAGATACCCTATAAACTTAGGTATTTGAAGCACTAATATCATTATAATACTATATGGATATAGGGTGAAAGGCCTATAAGAGCCTATAAAAACGCGGATTATTTGTCAGATTGAAAACGAGGACTGCTTTTTCTAGTCCTCGTTTTCAATCCGCGCCCTTGTTTTCCCATACAAATTTGGTGAAAAACGCGGATTATTTAGTGTCATTTTAGAGTGATCCACCTCCTCCCCACCTCGAAATACACTAAATTCATTGAAATGCGGATTATTTGACGGAATCCGCGATTTGACGTCCAAACATGAATTCAAAATCCGCTTTCAAAAAGAGCGGAATATTCAGCGGATCCAGCGCGGATTTGTACATCCAAACTAGCCCTAAATGACATACCTTGAGGTGGAAAGTCTGAAGCTGAATTGACTGCTAGCAGGTATTGAGATAGAATAGTTCGTCGCTGGAGCTCAGTTGCATTTGTAGAGTCAACAGAACTCAAGTCGATGAATGCGCCCGATTCCCAATAAGTCTGCCACCACGTCTTAGAGCTATCAGTAAGATCAGCCACAGATGGCGCCCTCATGTTTCCAGCTTTACCACAGCTTGTATCATCCGAGAACGACCCTGTCATCTTCAAACTGCTGGAGCCCGGAGTTGTGAGAAAGTATCTATGCGTGCCCTCCTTAGGACCCGACACCTGACCCTTACCTTCCCATCTTGCGGTAAAACAGTACCTGGTATCGTCTAGAGTATGCTGTATAACGGCCTCGTTGTCCGCAGCATCAAGAAATGTAGAGTGTTTACTGCTTGCATTCCACACGCCGACGAATGGCGCATCGAATTTGTTCACATCTGAATATGGAAAGTCGAAAAACAAACCTAAGGAGCCAATACTAAGCAGTTCAGATTCCACATTGATGATGACAATATCAGCGTCTGACGCAGCTGATACCTCAACACGGACTTGGCTGCCATTGTACAGAAACGTTGAAGTGATTAAGCCGTTCCATAAATCAAGAACCTGACTTTTCTTCTCCAAGTCACCTTCCGTAACATTCGCATTCGCGAACCAAAAACCAATATTACCCAGATTCAACCGTTGAGGATTTTGAATTAGCCAGTTTGATATATCCGCCTCAGCTGGGTTGGGCTGGTTATAGTTCACAAGCCGTCCATGGGACCACCAGTCCAACCGGTAAAGTCTTCAATTTGTTAACAACTAGTAATCCAACAGAACTAATCAGGCCCTACCTTCCACAGATGTTTGATTTGGAGTTGTTGGCAAACTGGAGTTATGCCAACCCCATGATGACATGGTTGCAAAAGGATAGAAGGTCTGGAGCCCCGTCACATCGACACCAAATGCAAAATTACCATTGCCAACCTGCAGAGGTGTAGTCGCGGAACTAGCATTACGGTACACATTGTAGGTTTGGACGACCTCTTGTCTCTTTATTAGAGCGCCAACCTTAACGATCCAGAGAAACGACACGCAGGAGGAAAAGATAATCGAAACACGCATATTGAGTTGTGTAGCATGTCAATTGGTAAAATTGGGCAAAGATATAAATATAGATAGATTCTCCTCTTTCAGGGACCGAGACATTACCCCAGATTTTGACTACCGACGTCACACATGCATGTATACCCTTAACATTGTCCCGAGCCTTAGTTCTTCCACCACTCATATTATTTCACATATGCAGGTCAATCCTTGCTAGCGGAAGCGAGCGAGGATGTCAAGTTTTGGATGAATAATTCCAAGATATGCGAGTATATTCAAACCTCAAATAATGCTTGGACAATCACAGCAAGTTACTCGAGTCGTTGAATACCTATATAAGAGAATAATTGTGTGGGATTTGGAGGCCAGGATATCAAACATCCGTCGAATTTAAAATATTTCCCTTGATCTATTCTCTTTGTTATATGCTTTGAATTCACAACCTCAACCTCATCTCCTCTTAAACAGCTGACAATATCAACAATCCACCCCTCTAATCGGCATGATCACGTTCGCAAACATCTCATTGCTATATCAATGATCAACCACTAGTTACAAGCTACGCGCTCAATGGTACAGACGGCCCATCAATTTGAAGACCACTAGGGAGTACTCTACGCTTTAACTCCTCTGGATCGGATGGAGCTACACATGATTCAATCGGTACAAGCATGTGCATAGGTACTGACATAACAACCGGTCTTGAATTTCTTCCACAGAGTTGAAGCACTACTATCCTCTCTGTGAAGATTCTCATATAATCGAGCAACGTTTGTGATACAACAAAGTACGGCACACGATGAAACTGCTATTGTATTCGTGCCAGCTACAATACTTAGAGTAACTCCTGAGAGAAAGATTCTACTTCCAATGTTCCTTCGATCAATCATCAGCCACGGTGCAAAATTCAGGAATCCATGTATATAATTCATCATGACCACTTCATGATAACAAAAAAGCATTACTGGAAGTATCGATATAGCAAACATCCACGAAGTTTAACCTACCCACCTCTATGTCAAAAAGAGCAAGCCAATCTTCAAAAAAGGTCTGTTTCTTATTTCCTTCCATCTACACACGTTAAAGAATGAGAGAAGTTCTGCCATCTTTTATAAGCGATGACAAAACAAGTTATAGGTCATAGTGATCAGATACTTGGACATTCAATTACTGATAAAGAGCGATTGAGAGAGAAAACGAGAAGATGGCATCTTTCTCTATGCAAGCCATCATACTACTTTTCACCTTCAACACCAAAGCCAAAAAGCATCTTTTAGAACATCTCGATTGTGCTAAGCTATCTGGTTTTTGACAGCTGAAACAACTGCCATAGAATCCTGGAAAATTTCAGTGTTACTTTGAAGAAAGAAAGAAAAGCCAAGGCAAAGTGAGAATACGTCCAGCGAGCCTAAATCTTCAATTTCCACCCACCACAGCAAGAAAGGACTTCGAAATATTGTCATCCTGTGCCCATCTTGATATTTACCACTCAAACTCCGCGTCATTGTTTGCCCAATAGTTTACCTTTTTCTTAGCATTCTTGTCTCCGGCTTCCTTATACTTCTTGGCCAGATCTCCAAATCCTTCCTCCTTGACGGTATACTTTACTGTTTCGTCTTCATGCTTACCTACAACGTCGGCCACACTGGAAGTGATGTCATTGACGACCGTACCGTAATTAACTGCTTCACGAATTTTGCAACGAACCCCTTGAGACTCGCAATGTTGCGTCAGGGCTGTGTATGTTCCAAAACCTCTCTATCAAATGGTTAGTAACAGCGCACCAAAGAACGTTTGAATCGTTTTCTGTTCTGATTTCAATTTTGAAAATTTTATCTGAAAGAACATGAAGACAACAAATATGAATAACGGACACCATACTGAACAAAATTGTGACAAATTTGACGAATTGTGAATGCAGCAAGCATTGTGCAATGCAGAATAAAATGTTCCATGATTAAAGTGATGCCAAATTACACAAAACACAAATTGGGATTGGGAAATATTAAATAAAGAAATCTGTTGTGCTTACGTAGCAATTGGGACAGATAAGTCTATTGTCTGAAGTGTGTGTAGGAGAAAGTAAATGTTGGATGAAGGCTCTTTCAGTATCGTAACTTTTCCTTTAAACATGTTAGAGAACAGTTTGAATTCGGCAATTGAAGCTACTTACTTGCACAAGCGGTGAGGACACTGGTACTTTCGGGTGAACACAACCCAGTATCTTTGTGCACGGAAAGAAGGGTCTTCGGGGTCATATAGTGCATACTCCTTCTCAGGTAAAGGGTTGACAAGAGCCCGCATACGAAGAGGCGGAAGTCCACCAGTTCGGGTAGCTATATCTGTCACCGCAGATGCCTCTGTAGATGGTGGGGGGATGGGTTTTCGGACATTTGCAATGATATGCTTAGTGTCCCAGATGGAAGTAAACTTCGCGTCCTCAAGTGGCGCATCCATGAAGTTTGGAGCTTTCATGCCGGCGTCTCTGAATTGGCTTCCATTTGGCAAAGGTGGGAAATTATCTTCTTTCATGGAAGGTGCGATTGCGATTGGGAAGGAATTTTCGACATACTCGTACTGAACCTCTTCAGCGGGCTTTCGTATCTCCTTGGCTGCCTTCTTTGTAATTCCTCCCCATGGTATGCTCATGGCTTTGTCAACTTCCCCGAAACAAATCAAGTCCTCCTCTGGTTGTAATTCCATGACGGGAGCAGGGGTAGTGTTTATGATCGCTTCGTTAAGGGTATTCGATGGTATATCTTCTTCCAGGACTAAATGACTGTAAGCTAACTTCAAGAAGAGAAAGTTTTGGGGAGTTACTAGTAGTTTCCCATCCGCCAAACTCAAAGTTGGTAACCATTTCACTCTCAAAATTTGGTGGCGGTGGCTTGAAGATTGGCGCCAGCGGCTTAACATCCATAGAATTTACAGAAATATCCTGCGAATCTAAAAGGCTGTTACTAGTTCTTGGACCAGAATTGTCATCCATTTCCTTTAGGTTAGCCTTGAATCTTGCATGCAGTTGTTGACGTTGGCGTCTGCTAGCTGCCAGGTTATGTCTATCTTCAGGGTTGATTGCGCGACAGCTACCCAGTTCAAGGTGGTTGATTAGAGATCCTAGACGAATGAACTTTTTGCCACAAGCCATACACTTGAGATCTTGTTCCTTTGGGTGAGTCTGGAGTTTCATGAGATGTCAGTCAACCATGACTCGCCAGTAAATCAATTTGAATTAACCTACTAGAGTTCGATGGCGCTTCAGACCTTCCTCAGTGTGAAAGTCTGTGCTGCAGATATCACAACAGATGTGGTCTCTGTGGGTCAATTTGTGGTTGTGGAAGGCATTCCAATCCTTAAAGGTGATGTTACAGAGCCTGCAGTCTACCTTGGTATCAAACTCGCCAATCTTTGCGTCTTTGGCAGCCATATCGAAGAGAGTTTGGTTGTTATCGTACTTGATTGATGCTCTGGTTGTTCATATTGTTTATGAGACCGATCTAGAGGACCGATCTAGAGGAGTGTAAAAAGTAATGCGGTTGATTTGAGGCAAATGAATTCCCGATCTAGAAAGCAAGACCGAATGAAAGGAAAGGATGGTACTAAGAACGAATTCCTGCGTTTCTTAAGGCGCAGCCAACCTGGGAAGAAAATCAAAGGAAAAGATAAAACTTCTTGTGTATGAAAAATCGCGGGGTGAATAATATGAGTTTGACGGGAAGTTGTTTATTATGTAGAGAAGTGAGAAGTGAGAAGGGAGTGGGAAGTTTTGACTTTTGGTCGCGTAGGGTAGTTACAGAAGAAGCAAGTTGGGAAAGAACAAAAAGGAAAGGCAAAGACTACCTAGTAAGGCTACGGCGACAGCAGCAACAGACATCAGCTTTCAAAATAAATGTAAACAATAATCAACCAATGAACGATCTGCCGACAGTCAATTCTTTTAGACGATAAGAGGGGAAAAGAGGAGGGGAAAAACAAATATAAAAGTGAATACAATGGCCGATAGCTTGCGCCTATGTGGGTGGCTATCATCTCATTCTTTCAATACACAATGTAATTCATCTGAAACTTCTAGCTACCTAGGCCAACTTAATCTATTTGTACACATTGAGTAAAAAAACCCCTCTTCCTTCGTCAACACCAAACACACAGTCTTCCTCTTGACCATGATGATATGGTTACTCTTCGAAGACATGACTACTCAAAGTGACACATAAATATCAGGCATGCATTCGCTGTCTACAATCACCTTGGACACGGGCTAATATGTCTGAGCAGCCAAAAGGATCGGGAACGAAATAAATCGACAATCCGAAAAAGTACAGACGATAATACCTGAGAAGAAGGGGCACCAAATGCTAGCAGTGCAAATAGTCATCATGCTCTCTGATGCCGACACAGCAAGACCTCATCCCTTCTTTAAGATGGTTCTCCCATTCAACCATTGTTTCTTCTTCCAGCCCCTAGGACCCCACTGATGGCCAGATATCTTTCATCTTCAGCAAGTAGGGGTACAAGCTACACCGAGCTCAAGTGGGTTCGGAGGCTCAAGAAAGCATATCTTACAAATCTCCATTCAAAAGGAAAGAGTGACGATCCGTTGAGATATCGTGAGCGAAAGCTTTCTACAATTCAGCCACCAAGCAGAATCACTGTGTGGCTCCGCTGCCGAGTTTTCAGAGATTGTAGGGAAAGTTAGAAACAATCCATCCGCTTCCACAAAGATACCCGAGAATCCCTATCCGAATCCAAGAGTCTTGCGGTGGCAGGATGGCAGAGAGTTCATGTAATACATTAGATACTGCTTAGTACTAAATGTACTACTACATATTAGATCTTGTAGACATTGAATTTATAACTGCTATTACTCGCCAACGACAGAGGCAATCTCATTTATATGTGTCTATGCAGGTAAACATAGCAAAACTAGCGATGTTCAATATTGGGATGCTGAGGTCAAATGGATTGAAATCCTGATAAATCGTTAGATGAAGAACACCATATCCTACTAAGCGATTCCCCTCGATCATTGCTCATTGCTCATTGCATTGAACCAGAGTGTCAAGTTGATGATTTCTCAGTGAGTGAAGTTTGTGTGAATTGTCTCACTGTCATCATCTTTGGTCTCGGGAGTCCGGGCTACGGAGGCCGATCTGTGCCTACCTACACAGTAGTACCTATGTTTAATCAGCGAAGCTCAGCCTCTATTAAACGGAACACAAACACCAGCTGGTCTGTTATTCCAACAACTCCTTAAACAATGCGAACAATTAAGTCATGTTTCTCTGATGAATCCCATGGCTAATCTATCGCCACCAAGTCCTCCTAGATCTCCCGGCCCTTCAAGAATGTCTCGAAAATGGGCTAGAAAGTGCGAACGTTATTGTTGCATTGGCGCAACTTACTTCCCCCTTGTATTCGTATACAGTATTACTACCTGGGCTGTCTGGGTAGAAACTACAATTGGATTTCTGGCAGATGGCAGCAGAACACACTGGATAGGTAGGCTTTATTTTCGCAAATAAATTTTGCAAAGCTAATATTTCATAGGAAAGGGGACGTCATTTCTGGGAATCATTACATATCTTCTCCTGAATTGGTCATACACGGCTGCGGTCTTCACGAGTCCAGGAACTACCACGGCCGCAAGTCATGGATATAGCGCCCTTCCGACACACAATCCTGTGGCGACAAACTTTACGGTGAAATCGAATGGAGAATTGCGCTATTGCAAAAAATGTCAAGCAAGGAAGCCGGATCGATCTCACCATTGCTCAACATGCGGAATTTGTGTATTAAAGATGGATCATCATTGCCCATGGTTAGCTACCTGCGTTGGGCTGCGAAATTATAAGGCCTTCCTCTTATTCCTGATATACACAACATTGTTCTGTTTTCTCTGTTTCGCAGTCTCCGGGACTTGGGTTTGGAGAGAGATATTGAGCGATGGAGAATATACCGATTCATTGTTACCCGTCAATTATGTGATGCTAGTGGTAATTTCTGGAATTATAGGGTTAGTCTTAGCAGGTTTTACAGGATGGCATATTTTACTATCATCCCGCGGTCAAACGACAATTGAGTGCCTCGAGAAGACGAGATATTTATCCCCATTGAGAAAGACTATGCAACATCAACACATCCCTGAAGAACAAGCTGAAGGATCATACGAACAATTAGAGAGAGCTCGAGCAAGAGACCGATATGAGCAATATCTTGACGAACAAGATTCGGAAAAATTGCCTAGCGCATTTGATCTTGGGTGGAGGAGAAACTTCAAGCATTTATTCGGACCCAAGGCATTATTATGGGCGATTCCTATACCCACTACCACTGGAGATGGATGGAGTTGGGAGGCAAGTCCAAAATGGTTGGAGGCTCGAGAGAAACTTGCCCGAGAAAGAGAAGAACAAAGAAATAGAGAAAGGGCCGCCGGCTGGGGCGAGCCAGCATCTCCAATAGTACCCCTTCCAAGATCAGAAGGAGCTGGCAGGCATTATGTTTCCTATCCTACACAACCCAATCGAGCCAACCGTTCTCAATCCAAAGCAGACCGAATCTTGGGGCGCAATCCAAATCAATATGCGGATGAAGCAGACTCAAACTCCGTCTCGATGCAAACACTGCAGCCAAGAGACAGCGATGAAGATCCTTACGAAATCAGCAGCGACGAAGATGAGGCGGAAAGAAAAATCCTCGACAGAAAAGCTGCCGCTGGGTGGCCCCAGAGAGTTGGGGTGGTTACGAATACATTACTAGGGAATACGATAGCACGACAAAAGGATGACACGAGAGGATGGGATGGACATTTACATGGACACGATGATGATGTAGATTAGATGTCAAGATTTACACTGATTTCTCCGGGTTGGAGATCATCGATTTCGTCCTTTGTATGATACAGATTAAGCTTTGGATACTCATAATATCGGTGGATGGATGGATGGATATATGGAATCTCGGAATATGCCATGTTATAATATTATCATTCCTCATAATAATTACTTCATTTCTATGATCGAATAAAGTTGTTGCAGGTAATCCTCTATAGGCTGTCTCGTTTATTCTCTCCCCTAAGAATCGCTGCAACACTTCTCTACTTTTCACCTCCTTTTCCTCGCGCCTTGTTTTGTCCTTGGCACTAAGTTTGTCCGGCTGCTACCCCTTATCTTCTCAGATTAGCAGCAATATAATACACATTAATGTATATTTTGATGAGTGAAAAGAATCGGATATTGATTCCCCGGTTGTTGTAACCCTTTAAATCTCCAGGGGCAAGGACTATTAGAATGTAGTATGACCTATGATGGAAAAGCTAGCTATGACACCATTACAATTAGACACTATGAACAGCTGTTTCTTGTTCCCGATGATATGACGCCATGCGTAAATACGACAATCGCTAATAATGCTATGGAAAACTTGGAACGAAGTGAGCTATGTAGCGCAATGTTGCTAAGGTTTGATTTAATGATTGACAGCGAGTCAATACCGTGACGTTCACAATAACTCTATTCGGCTACCAGATACAGCCCCAACTCTAATGTATCTACGTAGTTGTGTAATACTACCGTGTTCTTATATCCTACAATCCAACAGTGCACCAGGTGGTGGTCCACCAGATGGTCACACTTCTCACATGCCATCCATTTCATTCCTCGCCAGTTCAAATCTAAGAAAGAGGTTGGATGGATCAATATCTAATTCTACTATTCATCTGAAATGCGCTGCGTAGTCATCTATCTTACTGTCTAAGTGCACCCAGTATGTGATTATGTAATCATTATCAAAGCCACGTTAACTTAACTATCATAGCATGTTAATCGTTATCTACGGCATGTGCTCTGGTGCTGTTCGCGCTTGTATCTACGATCGACCTGTCCAGTTACACCATAGCGTTGAATGAGCAGCCACTAATTATTTAAAAGAAATCTATTACTCATTTACACACAAACGACTCTTTAAATATCGTATTGATCCTTCAGTTAACAGGTCAGGTAACCTCTCTTTCTAGCCCAGAAGTTCAATTACTATTTCCGATCAATCCTCAATCATGGCTCCTGGTTTCAATACCAAATCTCCCACGTTGAAGCGCATCAGTAAGCTATTCTATACCCCACGATCGTTCCTCGCATGTGTTAATGAGTGGCGTAGTGAAAGAAGCCGCCGAACTCTCGCAACATCCATCTCCAGACTATACAGCTTCTCCAGCTTCAGATACCGATTTGTTCGATTGGCACTTCACATTGCGCGGCCCTCCATCCTCATCTTTCGCCGAGGGTATCTATCACGGACGCATCGTTTTGCCTCCCCAATATCCTCTTCGACCTCCTTCCTTTAGATTTCTGACACCGAGTGGAAGATTTGAGGTGAATCGTGAGATCTGTCTAAGTATAAGTGGGCATCATGAGGAAACATGGCAGCCTGCGTGGGGAATACGAACCGCCTTAGTAGCTCTCAGATCCTTCATGGAAACTAGTCCTTCAGGGCAATTGGGAGGGGTTGATGCGAGCGATAGCGTTAGAAAGAGAATAGCAGGGGAGAGTAGGGGGTGGAAGTGCGGTGTTTGTGGTGGAAGGAGCTGCGAGGAGATTTTAGGAGAAGCAGAACAGCTTGCGAAGGAACTCGAGGGTGAAGGGACAAGTTCTAACAGAGAAGAGGAGACAGTACCACCTGACATGCAAATAGGGCTCAAGAAGGAGACTAGAGCGGAAACGGGATCAAACCAGGAGAAAGACGAAGGAAATAGTAAATCCACGGAGGATGTAAAGCCAGCACAGGCTGAGAGTGAGTATCCACCTGCGAGGCCGGCGCAGACGGTGCCTCAACCCACAGCTACGATACCACTTCCTCAACTTCCTCAACCTCAAAGACAAATGGCACAAGCTCGTGTTCAGTCAGATGAAGGCGTACCCGTATGGGTCGATAGGGCTATTGCCGGGATAGTTTTATGCTTAGTAGTCATGGTTTTGAAGATGCTATTGGGGAAATAAACAGGGCTTTAGGGTGTTTTAGTTCAGGCTTTCTTCGAACAATCGTATTAGTGGGTCGGGAGGCATGATGACAAGGCGTTATTGGGCTGAGCGGGTATGGATCTTGGCGTTTACTAAAATTTGATACCATTATACAGAGAATGCAGGATACTTTTCACGTAGCCTAGTTGGCACCTCATTGTATCAAAACAAGAATTCTCGCGTGTAGTGAGTAAGTTACGGACAGCACAACATGACAGTAGCTCCATATATCGCAGATGTCAGGTTCCTGGTTCTCGATGCACGATATTCTCTTGGGATCAGAATTTTAATTGCTGGGCTCTTTGTGTTAAGTATGTCAGACTCGAATCTCACAAATTTCTTGAGCTGCTTGAAGTGTATTTGACCAATCTTTCGAGATAAAATCTTCAATGGTTTGTTGGCTGTTTAGAAAAAAAAGTGGCTGATCAATATGCACGACTGACGGTAGGCAGTTGGACAATCAAATGGGCCATTTGACGTGCAACTGTACATTGCTATCTTCTCTAGAGAACTGATTTTACTGGAATTCCGAACAATTTCACTCAAGCTTCGTTATCGCACTCCACAAACGGCCACCATTGATGTAGTAAATTGGCCAATCCACATTCGTCACAGTCTACCCGTCGATGTCTTTCCTTTGCTTATAGTGGTATAATCTTGTACTACAATGACAGAGAGCTCCTAATATGGTAGACACTATACTTTCGTACTTATCCATTAGCCAGAATTTTCTCTCAGCTCCTCTTTATGTCTTTCGCAAATCACAACAATCAGACGATCTAAACATTTCCGGTCACTAGAGAAAGCTTCGTATGAAAGGCGGATGGCACAATGCAAGTTGCTTCGCTCTTCATCAAAGAGAACAAGAGTTTTAGTTTTAGGAATGTATTGAAACGATTTCGAGGCCGCATTCTACCAACAAAGACTTCTTTGAGCACAGCTCCAAATGTTACTTTATTCGAGTGACTTTTACAAGCTTCAAAACATTTGATAATTGAACTGGCATTGTGTTACCTTTAACATCACGCCGCCCGAATCAATTCTCGATAACATGCAAGAGTCCGAGGGTTCTGAATGGCAACGCGAGCCGTTACCAGATTTCTTGAGAAGTCCGGGGCTACAAAATTTTATCAAGGAAGTTTACAAGGGCAAAAAGGCCAAGCCATATCCCCAAGACTTTGGCCTCCATAATTTTGAGTTGGATCTCGGCGATGCAGCTTATGATTACGCTGTATCGGATGGACCTGTTAAGCAAACATGGGGAGATTTGAGTCAATGGTTCAATGCAGAGCGTGGCTACGACGGTACCTCACCAAAAGTAGCTCCCCCGAAAGAATCCGACGAGCTTGACATACAGCCGAAATACAATGATTTGTTTTGGGATAATCACAGCATTGACTCGATTTCAAAACAAATCGCAAGTCATGCGCGGGACGAAACTTCAGACCCTCCCATCGATTATTATCATAAACCAAAGCCTTTCTTGCGTGGCTTGATTGATTTCCAAAATATCTTTGGCCACAAGGCTACCGAAGCCCCTCTCTCTGGGTATAGTAAGCAAAATCTGCGCGAGGATTTGATTGCTGCGTCCTTATTTCATCATATTGCGACAACGATTTTGAAGAATCCTTTCTTCTTCTTGGATGATGTAAAAAACTTGAATGGGTCAGTCGACGGCCCGCATAATCCTGTCGACAAATTATATCATGATCTCCTCCAGCGTAAGTAATCACCAGCCGAAATGAACCAGTATGCCGTCTAATGCAGTCTCGCATAGATGAATCTCTACAAAACCAGCATGTCGCCAAATCCTTCCGGGCGCATACCCTTAGGTTACTTAGGCCTCAAGAGGAGTATAGCTATAGTAAGAGCATCGCAGCCATAACAAATGGCAAGATTCGGAGAGTAGCACAAGCTCGAGCAAGACAATGGTTGAGAAGCGAAGCACAGGATCTTTGGCTGCCGACCATCGACAAAATCGACGAACATGAAGTTGAGATTCTTTACGAAAGAGCTGCGGAATTAGCAGTTGAGGTTGCTTCCATGACATGGACGGATACTCAAATAGAAACCTTGAAAGATTATACGCCTTTGCCACATCCTACTATTCCTTGCCTCCCTTTATCATTCTGGAAACATTACAAAGCCGACCCAGCTTTGCATCATATCTCAGACATGTCGAGGTATCTTTTCGGAGACATTCCTGTGCCACCACAAGACCTAAAAGTTCTAAATGAGCTCGAAAAGCAGGTTAAATTGGTCAGATGTAGACTTGTCATATATGTGCACATTGAACATCCTTCAAATCTAGAAGCAAAGCACCCGTATCTTGAGGTCGAAGGGTACCCGTTCCCAGACCCGGTCCGGGTTAAAGACTGTCCAGAACAGATATATCTGGAGTTACCAGAATTGGAAAAGCAAGAGCCTGATCCCCGGAAGCTAGAAAGAGTCTACAGCGATGAAGACTTGGCCAGACTGCCTCCGAGACTGCGCGGCATGTTCGGAGACAAGCTCACTTGGCGAAAAGTGTGGAAGTTTTACAAATGGCTCTTTGATTCCGCTCTCTATTATATTCCGTTTTACGCGGTGGCGTTGGGAATTCCTTTTATACTTGCATGGGGCTTTTACAAACTTCTCTCCCTTGGAGCTGATGAAGAGGTAGATTTGTGGTTTTTGCCTAATATTCGGAATCTATTTTACTCTTGGCGAGATGCATTGTCCTCATACTTCTTCGGAATCCTTGGCTGGCTGGGGATTTTAAAATTGTATGATCTAGCGATGACTATTCTCCATAACATTTTTACTCCATGGCTTGGAACCTTTGCTCACGGGAGGGAATTAGCCCTTCATTCCGTCACAGCTTGGAGAGAACATATGTCTGGCTTGTATGATGCCACCGCGGAATATGTCGTTTCCACAAGAATATGGAATCTCCTCCCTGATGAATGGGGATTGCTAATTGGCTTCCTTTGTTTTTTTATTCCGTCTGCCATCTTATATCATCTGGCCGGCAGGGGTTTTGCAGGAGCGCCAGGCCCAGCCCCACTGTACATACGTCCACTCATAATTGTTATCTTAATCTACCAGTCGTTATGGTTTGATTCTGTACGAGGCGCGCTTACAGATTTTACTGGCTACTTATCAGATGTACCGAAAATTGTGATAGGTATGTTCGAGGGTTTATTGAATCTCCCAGAAACCTTCAACTGGATGTTAGAATGGATTTCTGGAATTGGTGGCGATACGAGCGTCACTATTATACCAGAACTCGACCCAAGTCAGCCTGGGGTTTCGATAAAACCAGAGCCAGAGCCAGGAACACATGATGATGTTCCACAGCCTTTCCAATTAACCCCAAAAATGGAAGAGGAGCTTTCGCGAACAACACTTGGAGGGTTATTAACAGGTTCAAAACTTGGGAATGCAATACGAATATCGAATCTTTCAAAAGAACAAGAATTATCGAGTATCGCTGAAATGCTAGAGCAGTCGCAACTTAGCGAAACATTAGAAGATTTTGGATTTGGGCAATCGCTCGTAGGAAGAGAACCCACCGGGCAATCTTTGAAAGGGTCTTTGCTTGGATACATATTAACAGGATCTGATACTGAAAAGAGGCTAGTAACTGCACAGCTAGGAGCAACATTGGCAAAATCGGAGTTTGCAGAACAGTTTGTAGGATCTGAAATGGCGAAAACGTTAACACAATCTGAACTCGCAGAACGAATAACCGAAGCCTTGAACACAGACCTGGGCTTGGGAATACTAGACTCGGGCTTGAAGGGGCATGCGAAGAAAATGACGTCTGTACCAATGCTTGCAAAAGTAATATCAGGACTCAATCTGGCAGAAACGCTAGAAGGGTCATTGCTTGGGAAGATATTAACGGGATCAACTTCGGGACCTATTCTTCCAGTAGAAGCTCTTACTGCGTGGGAGGGACTCGCACCACCAGAACCATATATTCCTGGAACACTTGTTATAGGGGTAGAACCTGCTTCGACGATTGTCACGAAGATAACGACCATAGTCATGAAGCCAATAACGATGTTACTCAGCCCCTTTCAATTGATAGTAACGAAAATAGTGTCAGTACTAATGAAAGCACCAATGATAGAATCTCTTCTACCGACGTTGACGACAGTAGCGAACACAGCTCTGAAACCATTGGCTCCGGTGATAGGTTTCTTGGGCGGTTTATCCTCTACCACCGAGCAATCATCTGACCAAAAGCCGGGATTTACCCCAGAAACTGGAGCACCAATATCGGGTTCTGTTCTTCCAATAATAGCGAAAGCGTTCACTATAATTTTGAAGCCAATTGCATCATTAGTGGCCAAGTTCTCCGGTTCATCCTTTACTGATTTGCCTGACTCATACCTAAAGATATCTTTCGATCCAGCTAAGGTGTCATCCGTCATCACTTCGCTAATACTTCCCGTGCTTGGCGTGGGTTTCTACATAGTTGTACGGCGCTACATAGCAGCCTGGACCCAGGGAAATCTCGAAGAACCCGTACCCCCCCAAAGAAACAGAATACGTGATCTATTCACCTATGTCTTTCATAAACTTCGCTCAGCTTATCGCTTGTTCCGTCGATTTCTCGGTGTATTGGCTCATCTATCCAAATATGTTTTCCGTCCATTTAGGTTTCTCCTTTGGCCATTTATATTGCTTCGCATGTTAATTGTCTATGTTCTTCGCCCACTTAGACCGTTGGGCTACCCATTCGTTTATGTTTATTGTCAGATTACCAGATTCGGTGGTTATATCTGGCGATCAATAGTTGATCGAATACCATCAGGACGCTATCTACTCATCCAATTTCTGACTCTAATCGTGTTTACATTACATCTCATGATGCCTATACTTTTATATGCTTATTGGCTGTTCGAGCAATACCAAGATTACCGTCACCCAAGGCCTCAACTGCGCCAATTACCATTCGTCAACAGAATAATCGGTTTTTTTATGCGCGTATACGAAATAGTTCTCCAACTATTCGCAGACACAAGACAGAAATTAGCTGATTTGTACAATTTTTTACACTTGAATGCCTTTGCTCCCCTCCGAGGGATAATCGATGCAACAACATTCTTATACAGACAAATTTTTCGCACCTGGAACATATTTTCCCGCACTTTAAAATTGGTTTTTTATTCGACGGCTTTCTTGATCTATGTATTGTTTGGATGGGAGACAGAAGCCTTTTTTGACCCCGGACAAAATCCAGAAATTCTTTTGGCTCTCCGAGCTATCCGCTCTTATCTTTGGAAGACCCCTTTCGCTCGAGTTATAGTTCCTCTTCGTGGAGATGATTTGGCCGATCATCGTTTCCCTGGGTTTGCCCAGCGTCGTCATCGCTCTCTCCCTCATCCACAGTGTGAGTAACTTTTTCCATCCTTCAAATATTAACAATAGATCGTATAGACTAACACTATACAGGGTTTCCCTATTTCCACTTGCTGATTGGGGCATCTATCGGCATTTTCGCATACCTTACCGCAGGTGATCACCCTAGTGGCCGTGATTTTCTTCATCGTACCAGTGACTTGAACTCGACCTTGGAAGAAATATTAAAAAATTGAGATCATGGAAAGTTTTTGGCAATTTTCTTTGCTGGAACCGTACTACATAAAATTCATGGTCTTGTTTCAAGGGCTCTTATTAGATAAGGGAAGACTGTGTATTCAATCCATTCATTTCGAGCGTCTTGATTTGTAGCGCATAGGGAATCAAAATCAAATAATCAATCTTAAAACTGTATATCTGATGTTTGTCCAGAGGCTTGAACCAAAAAAAAAACCCTCAAATCTTATATTAAAACCATAAACTCCATAGTGTTCCCACAAAATTCACAGTGTGTTCCCATCTTACAGCTCAGTTATGAATCGAGTATTACATGGTAGCTCTGTAAAACATAGACTATTATTTCTTCTAAGATCGCAAATACACCACCCAGGAAACCGGCCTTTACAATCTTATGTGTCTTTTATTTTTACTATCCGGAAGAAACTACCTAGTAGCATCACAAGCGCACACGACTTATTTACTCATGTCAATCTCCAGATCTTGATGGTATACCACTTCAAGAAAATCGGAGTTAATAAAACGACGCAGTTCTCCAGTGGTAGCTCTTGCATATGAAACAATAAAAGTTCTTTCGTGATTGGAAACAGTTTCTATTCGATGAATCATCAAAGGGTGGGAAAACTACAACATATTACGGAAAAAACTGGCAGGTTCCTTATTAAGTTTCATTCAACTACAACGAGCAACTAATCTAGGATCTGAACCATTCACAATGATTAAAATTCATCATTTTATCTATATAAAAACATCGATGTGAACACTTGCCACCCCTATATTGCTTCCTATCTCTTATGTTATGCCAACAATGAAGTCTGTGGCCAAAGTACTCCAGTTTTTGGTCAAATCAGGACCCAAAGAGCTCAACTCTCACATATTGCACAAAGCTAGCCCCAGTATTAAAAATCTTTCACCGAATAGCCACAAACGCAAAGACCTCATCAACCTTCTGCTATGCAACGTAGATTCACCCACTTTCTCGCAGCATCCGATTATAACCACTTTTGCAGACCTAGGGCGACCGATTCATAATACCATGGGCAGATACACAATTTGTCTGACGACTGAGGAACATCGTATGTATACTTATGCCAAGTTCTTTGACGACCTCTTTTTTGCAAATAAGGTGAGGGATCTCTGTAGCTTTCTGCGAAAAGACACCGGAGTAGAAAGTGGTGCATTCGGCGAATTTGTGCAGTGGAAAGAGAAGCCACAGGTTGTAATCTATACCGACCTTGGTAAGAGGACGAGCTTGACAAATGAGAAAGAAAAGAAAATCTTTTTGGAAAGACTTCTGGCTGGGATGTGCTGGGCGTTTTTGTATATTTATGAGTGCAAGGAGCCATGTTGCTCGGAGTCACAAGCAGGGGGCGCTGAGCTGGAAAGACTGTTTGACGAACTGTCTAGGGTATCAGAGAAGGATTTGGGTATTAAGTTGGAGTTAGAATGGAAGGAAGAAGGGTTTTTGAGGATAGGAACGTCCCCCTTTTCTCCTGTTCGCTATGGTGCGACAAGGTTCTATTAAACGAGTGTGATTTTCAATGTATTTGAGCACTCTGCATGCATTTGCTTTATAGAATAGCAACACACAAAACGATGACATTATTGATTATCTTAATCTTTTTCATTGCTGATGCCCAGTATTTCATGTATTCTATATACTTGAATAAAATGCCAAAGAAGAATCATATTCACGCGTACCGATGCCAGCCCTCGTTTTGCCCAACAGACACTCCGTTGTCTCTGAAAGTTACTCCCGTGAAGAATATTCAGATTCCCTTTTCTTTGCCCTCTGAACACACTATATATTCAGGATCGTTAAAGGCTCCGGATCGCCCCGGAAACTTATAATAGCTCTACGAGATTTCGTATAGAGAGTTCCATGTGGAGGTTCACTAGAGCCTGAAAACATCCAGCCTCATATCACTCATATCTATTTCAATGAATTCTTAGATATAAAAACTTTAATCAAATTATTTTATTGTGTTGACGCATGTTCTGAGTGAAGTTGATCAATCTTGAGTCTCGCCCTAATGCTTCCGAAAGCTAATCCGAATCAAGTTTAGCTTATCTATCAACATTTCGGAGCGCGGATTGTAAGCTTTGAACAAAAAGTCCCAACGTGCCACTCGAGTTGAAGGTTCGTGAGAATCCCTAGCAGCTTGTCAATTTTTCTCCATTCTTTCACATCCTCACCTCCCTCTCTTGAACTTCTTCGCCGAGGGTCTTCTTTCTTATCACATAATCCCATCTTCAAGATGTCACGAATCCTACGACCAGCGAGTCGTTTCATTTCTTCAGCTCGCCCAACACGAAATGCCTTCCAATCTTTTTCCCGTCTACCGGCCATTGTGCAAAGCAGAGGATACGCAAAGGAGAGTGGTGTTAAGGAATATACAGTCAGAGAGGCTTTGAACGAAGCCTTGGCCGAAGAATTGGAGTCAAATCCAAAGGTCTTTGTTCTGGGTGAGGAAGTCGCTCAGTACAATGGCGCATACAAGGTTACCAAGGGTTTACTGGATCGTTTCGGTGAAAAGAGAGTTATTGATTCTCCCATCACTGAATCGGGTTTCTGCGGTTTGACCGTCGGTGCTGCGTTGGCAGGTTTACATCCTGTGGTAAGGACTTTTTTTCTCCATTTCCTCGCCTTCCACTGGAAGTCTATCGAGATAAGAGAGAGTAATGGCTAAAACCCGGTTCCACAGTGCGAGTTCATGACTTTCAACTTCGCAATGCAAGCTATTGATCAAATTGTCAACTCCGCCGCCAAAACTCACTACATGTCCGGTGGTATTCAACCCTGTAACATCACATTCCGCGGACCCAACGGTTTCGCATCTGGTGTCGCAGCACAACATTCACAAGATTACTCTGCATGGTACGGAAGCATACCCGGTCTCAAGGTCGTCACTCCATGGAGTGCCGAGGATGCCAAAGGATTACTTAAAGCTGCCATTCGCGACCCCAACCCTGTCTGCGTTCTCGAGAACGAATTGCTGTACGGTCAATCTTTCCCAATGAGCGAGGCTGCTCAGAAGAATGACTTCGTTATTCCATTCGGTAAAGCCAAGATTGAGCGTGCCGGAAAGGATCTCACCATCGTCACTTTGTCCCGCTGTGTTGGACAATCTCTCGTCGCAGCTGAGAACCTTAAGAAGAAGTATGGCGTCGAAGTCGAAGTTATCAACCTCAGATCCATCAAGCCTTTGGATGTCGAAACAATCATGACCTCCCTTAAAAAGACCCACCGTCTCCTCGCTGTCGAGTCCGGTTTCCCAGCCTTCGGTGTCGGCGCTGAGTTACTTGCCTTGACCATGGAGTTCGGTTTCGATTATCTCGATGCTCCAGCTCAAAGAATTACTGGTGCCGAAGTCCCAACCCCATATGCTCAAAAGTTGGAAGATATGAGTTTCCCTAACGAGCAGTTGATTGAGAACTATGTCGCCAAGATGTTACGATTGTAAGAAGATGAAAGTTTTTAGAAGTGATAACGAGGATGATGGGCTGAGTTTGGGAGGGGTGGAGGACGTGTATTAAATAGCATACTCCTGGCAAATATACCAATAAAACCTTTGTTTGAACCCGTGCCATACTAATTTGGATATAAGTAAGTGTGAATTTGTGAGTGTTTTATTATGATCTACTTTCCTAAACTAATCCGACATCTCGAAACCCAAAAACTGTTGCCATGATCTCCAGACAGTTGAGGGTCTACCCCGTGTCAAATCGTTCATGGTGGGTCTTTTGTTTAACAACGACTTGGTATCCCATGGCTAAAGCCACCTTAAACAGAAATCATCGTTAAAACATTCAGCCAAAATTTCAAAAGCTTCCTGGCGTTCAAAATGAATCCAGTATTCTAATCCCATCGATTTTATGATTATCAGAAAACACCCTTTGTTATATGGCGATTCAGTATCACTCAAACATAAGTATCACAAGCACAAAATGAGCACAGATGCCTGTTACTCAAATCCTGATTTCTCTACAATGATATGATATGTGGTGCTATTAGTGCAAAGAACTATCCGAAACGCTCCAAACTCCTCGTAAGGATTGCTCCGTTTCGCTGCAGATCGAAGAATAATCAAAAATAAGTTCCCCAAAGCCGTTTCCCATCATTCTGAGCTTGCGCATAAAACAAAGACATCACCGCTTAGACACCCATAGTAAAGTCGTGCTCAATACCTGGTGTCACACTTGCCATGAACTGGGATTTCGTTAGCATAATTCACTATAGTAGAGGTGCAAAATAACTGACCTTCAAGAATACAACGAGGTATTGGTCCACACGGATAGCAACCTCTTCCTCCTCATTGGCAAAATCTTGATCATGTTGTAATACCTCCCACTCATCGTTGCCATTCCCACCAGCTTTCAGACCTTCGAGGACAGCCTTCTTATCACCAATTTTGGTCTTCTCGAAATCGTCAACTAGGCCCTCCATTCCGGTATCTTTAGAACCAGGTACTGTCTTGCCTTGTCTTTGCTTCTCTCGTCGAAGCTTTAAAGCCGCATCTGCACGATCCAGAAGGGTCTTCATGACACTGGCATGTTTGCAAGGATGGATGGAGGCCATCTTGATATTGTCGCTAAAGTATGGGAAGTCTTCCAAAGTGACGGTCTTGTCCTTATAGTCCCCTACGATATCCTCCATCATAAGGTGTGGTGGTAGGGGTTGGGAGCTTGAGAGATATCCTGAGAGGTATAGTCGAGGAGTTCTGTAATAGGGCGTGTATGCGATGTAGATAGTATATGTTCGACGAGATCTGATAAATAAACTGTTAGTATCCAGTCATCAGATTAAGCTCTAGAAATACTTACGAACTTGCATTGTCAGCCTTAGGATCACGAATAATAGCTTCATCGTCATCATCGTCATCCTCCATATCTGGAATATCATCCTCATCATCTTCTCTCTCGCCCATTTCACCGCTCTCATCTACTGTTCGCACATCTCTCACACGGGCTTCTTGACTGGCGGCCAACCCTCCAGTCCTCAGCCAACCATCTTCATCATCGCCTGGAGAGTGAGGACCGTCGCCTCTGAAATCCTCCCCATCTCTAACGACAGTTTCATCATGACCTGCGTCGCCTGCAAAATCATCATCGAGTCTGCGATGGCAAGGCACGCCACGGGTAACTAGAAACTGCTTGCCAGCTGGTAGATAGTTGGCGCGCTTGCTTGTTGGGGATGCATCAGCCCATGACCATGTTGGAAACTTGAATACCAAATAATCTCCAGCTGCTACGAATTCTTCTGGTGTGATCTGACCATTGGTGCGAAAGGTTGAGGTATTAGAAACGGGGGTAAATTCTCGAAGTCTATCGAGAGTACTGTGGAGGAAGTTCATGATGGCGGGGTTGTTTCCTTTGACGTTGAGCGGGGTCTCAAGGGTATTGCGAGATGTTTATCTTGATGGTATTTTCAAGATTTATCTATCGTTTATGATTTTATTTGGATGGGTTGAAAGGAATCCGGAAGGTTGAATGCGGGTTGGATTTTATATGTATGTGGGATATGGTGAGTCAATGGTAGAGTAGCCTTATGATGATGTTCTTATCGATAAGGCGATAACCTTCGAGACGGTGAATGATTTAGTCCATGTGACCCTTGACATTGGTTTTTGTATTAGATACATGTTCTCTATAAACATCCATACTTCTGTTACCATGACTTCCCTATGTTAAAGATAGATCGCATTATGTTGAAACACATTATATTAGATTCATATATCTTGCTCAATATCGAAACAATAAAATTACCTACCTAGGGAAGCTTATGGTATCGTGAATCCGCTACTCCACGCACGCAAATACAACTTTCCAAATCCGGAAGACAACGAATACATTGTACACTCAGTGAACCCTTTTCATCCATCAAAACCGTGCATTACATGGAAATATTGAATCTATTCTGGAACAATAAATCTACTGACAATATCAATCACGTGTTTAGACACCTGCAACGTTCGAAAGTGTGAAAGCTTTGCGTATCTGCCAAGGACATATTAGTTATTTGCTCAGTCTAATCAAGAAGTGCCATACTGGTATGATAATTCTTCCAAGTCAATCGTATGAAGGATGCGTATCATGGTATTATCCACCATCTAAAAATCCTGTATCCCAGTTTCTCCACCAACTGTTTTCCCAGTTTCTTCTTCCCCTAACCATTCCGGTTCTTCATCCTCGAACCATCGCTCTTCAACGTCCCTATTTTCAATATCGTCCCATTCCCCACCAGCATCTACATCTTGATAATCAAAATCTCCATCTTCCCCCCTAAGAAACTTGAGTGTCATCTCAAACTTCCATCTCTCGAAGCCGTCCTCCTTACTCCTCGGTACTTCATCCGGATCTTCAGGTAAAACTTCACCACTTTGACCTCTGGCATAGCTCAAGTATGGAACCCCATGATCTTCTTGAATGCGCCCAACACCTTCATCTTCATCCTTAGGGCGCGAATCAGAGCTGCCCTTCAATGCAGCAAGCTTAGCTTCTGATCGATATAGATCTGCTTCCAACACACCTGGTAGAGATACTTATTACCATCAGAAGAACTAAAGACGATCGAAATCATTGAAGATTTGCCTACCAGAATAACCTTTTGCTCGTCCATCTGCTTCTCTTTCCGCGGCAGTCTGGAATCTCCTGATGCATCGGTCATATAATAAAGGATCTGAATATAATTAGTTATCAAGTTGTCTAAGTCAATATAGCAACAATTGACCTGCAAGCTCTAGGTCCGGGGCAGTGAAATATGATGGATGGCGATCAAGGTACAATTTCCTGCGATTTTTAATCCGTATGCGAGCTACACGCTCTGCAGAGTCCCGTGTTTGTGGCTCCGGTGTATTGGGCTCTCTGTGAGGCATGACGATAGGCTCAATGTTGTGGGGATCAATATTTGGATGAATGGATTCTGAAGTCATGCGTAAGGAATTTAAGTGGCGAGATTGGTCGATTTTCGCAGTTTGTTGTCAGATTAAGAGATGATAGATAGTTACTTTTCACAACAATGCCTAGTAAGCATCAGATATGAAGTTTTAATCTATGGTGATTTGATGAATGATATTTACCCAAGATGTATTGTGAATATCCGAATGAAACGTTGGTTGATAATGGGGGCTCAGTCGTGGCAATGAAGTACACCGGGGTGCTGGTATTATGAGTCGCCTCGGCTAGCCTTAATCGGTTAAATTCATATACTGTAGTCACGTCTATCTGACCAACATACAAATTATTTTAAATCTACAATTCAGGAAAGCATTCACGAAATAGTTCTCTAATCTTGAACATGTCTTCAACTCTTCACGAAAAGGCGCTTGAGCCTCCGTTCATAACCGTCGAAGGGATTCCCAACTTTCGAGATCTAGGCGGATATCCACTCGCATCGAGACCAACTTCGCATTCCGTAAGACAAGGAGTTGTCTATCGCTGTGGTGAGCCTCAAAGAGTTACTGAGAAGGGAATTGCTACTATGCAGCAGATGGGAATTACTCATATCTATGATTTGAGGTCTCAAGATGAGCTTGTTAAAAATGCGGCAGCTGGTAGGGGTGGAGTGGTAGAGTGGGAGGGCTGTCAGCGAATCTTCGCACCAGTATTCCCGACGGAGGACTATAGCCCGGAAAAAATTGCCATCCGATTCAAGGATTATGCCTCAAAGGGTACCGAAGTAGGTTTTCTTGATTAGAAGCTGTGGAGAGAAAATATATAGCTAAATGGCATTCTGAAGGGTTTCACCTCGGGCATATACCGATATCTTGAACAACGCTCCAAACTCATACAGAACTATTCTTCTCCACCTTGCAAATGAACCTTCCAAGCCATTGATCGTTCATTGTACAGCTGGTAAAGATAGAACTGGTGTTCTTTGCGCATTGATCTTATCTCTCTGCGGAGTTGACGACGAGGTTGTCGCACGGGAATATAGTTTGACAACATTTGGACTTCCGCAAGAGTGGAAAGCAGGAATCATCGAGCATTTAATGACACACCCAGCCATCAAAGATGATCATGAAGGGGCAGAAAATTTAATTAGCTCCAAGTATGTAATACTTTCCCTTGAAAAGATATGTTGCTAACAAAAGCTAGAGCTGAGAACATGCTCGCTACTCTTAAGATGCTCCGTGAGAAATTTGGTGGGGCCGAATCATACGTAATAGAGAAATGCGGTCTTACAATTGATGAGGTAGAAAGGATTCGTAAGAACTTGACCATAGAGTCACCGGCTGTTCACAAAATTGCTTAGAAGACGGGATGGATAGCAATCAGATCCGAGAAATGCCTCAAGATCATGTAGGCACGTGACCATTTCGCTTAGCGTTTTCTTGGAGCTTTGATCCCAAGTGTAACTTAGAAATTTCCTCACTGCGGGACCCCACGGTTTTTATCAACCACCCTCAATCCTCCTTCTTCACTACCTCAATTGAGTTGTTTTTATGATGAATCCTTCTTCAAGATGTCCGAACTTACTCGCGTCTGGATCTGCGTATGCAAAGTCCTTTCTTAATCAAGTACCTTCACGATCCTTCTCATTGACCCCTCCAAAAAATGCACGAAGAGCTACCAGAGCAAGGCGATCGCTCTTCAGGTGGCTTGGCACACAAGGAGAGAACTTCAGAAACCCATTAAACAACTCAACAAATTACATGGGTGCCTACAATGCCGATGGTAAATTAAAAAGAGTCGTGGAAGCTGCGGCGGATGCGCGAAAAGATGGTGTTCCAAAGCCCGACAGTCAAAATGAGCCTGATGCAAATGGTAACAAGGAATTGCCGCCACAAACCTCGAGAGATATGGTACCTTTCCCGGGCAATCGAAAGTTTATAAGTCAATCGGTGTTGAGCGAAGAACTACGAGAGCTCATTTGGACAAAAATTATGCAGGATGCTAAGTCGGTGAGAGAAGTGAGTGCCGAACTTGGAGTTGAAATGAGCCGCGTGGGAGCAGTCGTACGTTTGAAGGAGATAGAGAAAGAATGGGAACGAGCGGTATGTCAAGATTTCTTTTTCAACAACCTAACTTACTTTGTGATGATTTATAAAATTCGATTAGTCTTCAAGACAACTACATGGTTACAAAATTATGCATGCGAGCCTCTCTGAAAGTTATTTACATTTGTGTTTTATTTTGGTATTGTTCTTCAACCACAAATAAGCTAATGTTCATTGTGCTAGGGAAAACCTCTTGCGAGACCATACGCCGACGCAGTCATGTCAATGGTCCCTGTAACACAACTCAATACAGGGACTGGCAAAAACACACACGAATCGATTAATGACTTACCTATTCACGTAGCAACGGGACAACAAATCTTCCACCCCACTTCAGAATCAAGACATTTTACCCGAGAGGATGCTGCGAAGATTTTCGATGAGAAACTTCTCCCCGCAGACCAAAGAATACCACATCCCGAATTGATTGAGATGCATAAAGATTTCAAAGCTGGATTGTCTCGAGATGAACGAACTGCGCGACAAGATGCGCGAGATGAAGCGGAAGAACAAGTGAGGCAACGTATCGCTGATCGCAAAGCAGCGGAAGAAGCCAAGATAATGAAAGTCAACACACCTCGATGGGAATTTAGAATCAAGGAAATCAATGTTGACGACATTGGTAAAGATGGTAGAGGAGCACATGGAACAGGTTGGAGGTATGGAAGACCTTTGATGGATAGAAAGAGGGGACAAGTAAAGATTCCCACGAGTGTCCAATAAGTGATGATCATAAGAGTTCTTATCATAAATGTATATTCATGGAGTTTCGAGGTTGGGAAGGGGTATCATGACATTAGCGACTATATTGAGCGCGTTTTTGTACATTTATCTTGTACGATACCAAACTATCGGGAGACCAGAAGGATTGAAGGATTTGCATATCCTTCCAGGTGTATTAAATACTATTGCGTCTAAAGTACCAGTTGAAGTACTTGCCTTGACGCGACTTTTCCGCAGCTGCCACTTTCTATTGATGTGAAGGCCATTATTGGTAGATACGGATACGGAGTGAAGAAGGTACAGTACTGATTTGTATTGTATTCACTTGTATTCGTTGAATGATAAGTATCAGCGTGGCAGAATTAAATAAATCAGATATCCATGAGGGACATATATATTTATACAGTACGTACCTAGATATTGCTCGCTTTGTTAGAACGAAGTCTACATATTTTTTTCTTGGACCTTTCGAAATTTTTCGCTTAGTAACCCTAATGACGCTTAGTGCGATTTTGAGTTGCCATTTTGCGTCGCGGGTGCATACAAAAGGGCATGATAAATCCAGAGGTTCCCGCAGACAAAACGCGACTCTGGAACTTTTGACTTCACTTTCTGCTTACAAATACAGTATCACGTGTATATCAAAAGAAGATCATTGCTCTTCATTGACACCAACCAAAAAATAATTCGGAAACTGGCTGGTTCATCTTTATCATTCATAACTTTTATTGCGCCTTCTGTTGTCCACTTCCTTTCAAAATGTCCGACAGGGAATTTTCAAGTAAGTCGAGTGAATCTCTTGTATCACGTGACCTAGTACTGTACGGGGTGATTCGAAGGAAAGAGCTCTTATAAAACAAGTGTTCGAATGGTTATCTTTAAAGAAGTATCTATGGGAGAGTCTTTAGTAGTTGAAGACAAACTTGCGACTCGAGCTTCTACCAAATCCCACCAAAGACTCATACTCAAACCAAAATCAAGATGCCGACTGCGACCAATCCAAGTACCTTCCTTTTCCTTTATATTGCTGCATTCCGCTACATGAACTCAAATGGACTTAACTGACGCACTTTCTTCGCAGGTAACGATGATCTTTCACTTCCTAAAGGTAACATTTTCTTCTTTTCAATTCCCATCATCATCATTATTATCCGTAACCATGGACAACGAATGCGATTGCTCTTCCCGCACGAGGGGAGTGAGTAAGGCACCAATTTCCATTGGCGACTACGATATATCCTTAAATCCTACGTTATCAGCATCATCATGCAAAAGTGCGCCCTCCGCCATAAAACAGAGGTCAGCCTTTCGCCTAAGCAGTCGAATTCATCAACTACTTCAAAAGCTTCTTACTTTCGGTGCAATGAATCAGATCATCACCATAGTGACTTAAGCTTAACTTGTATCCCATTCCCATCTTCATATCATAGGTCACATTATTTGCATAAGAAACATCCGTTGTGGGCGAACGGTATAACCATTCCTCGACGAACATCAAGTCTAGCCTTCGAGTCATCATTGAAGAACATGGAGAAAGTGTGTTCGGCTTCGGGGTATCTTTCGGCTTCACCCGAGACTTCAGATTCATCAAGATCCTCTTCTAGACTTGATCTCAGTGGCAAGCGTCTCGAATATGTGCAGAAAGTGCTGGAAGATATCCGAACTTGGCATAAAGAGGTTTCCATGTCAATTTCGAGATCACATTCTGCAACTCACCGAAATTACCACCAGAAGAATTTTGGCATAGTTCCGACGCAAGTTCATAATCAACAGACCCATCATATGAGCAACGCAGTTATGGATTCTCTACAACATAATACTTCGTGGACCCATGTCTCCAACGGGGACTATACGACTTCTCGAAGGTATACTTCTAGGTCACTTTGTCCTGAGTCTAATCGTTCTACACTCTGGAAAATCGATCCCATTCCGTCCAGTATCTACAAATCGAAGCGGACAAAAATTACTGGGATCAAAAGAAGTCCTAAGCCAGTCCCTAGTCCGAGAACATCGAGCCTTAGTGCCACCATGCTCCCAAGACGGAGGAATGCTATCCGAGGCCGGATTCTTCCAAGGCCAGTTTCTATTGTCTATCCAACAATGAAACAGCATTCGTGTCTACCACAAGTGACAGAGAATGACCCCTGCAATCCAGACCTTGATCGTTGCTTTGGTTCCTATTCGGATGGTGAAAGTTCTTTGGCCGATACTCAAGTTAATGGTACAATCGATGGCAACGATTCTTCTCCGACAGTCTCTGTACAGAAAAAACTCATCTTCCACGCACAAGATCGGCCACATAAAGATATAGGCGGTCAAGATCACAAGGACGGAATTCCTCATGGCGGTACTGTCGTTAGGCTTCCCGCAAGATATTCAAGTCTGCAAGCTAGCGAGTCCATTTTAAAAACGCCTTCTTTACAAGAGAACGAAGAAGAGAAGGCTAGACGGCATATTGCATTTGTACATTCGGCGTTGCGAAACTTAGTACCATTTGAGATCTCGGATTATCTCTACAGAGTTTCGCAATTATCGGAAACTTGTAAGAATTCTGGAGAGACTTTCTTAAACAGCTTTTCGGACATGGCACCGCCATATATCGGGTCTAATCCCACTTTCGAGTCATCTAGGACTCTTGGGCAGGATGGGAATTCTAAGCCTGGGTTTGGTTTCTCATTCAAAGGAACCTCAAATGAACATCCTCGTCTGCAACCTCCGGAAACAATCAATGACCCGGGTACATGGTCTCCAGGCACAGCCATCTGACGACAAATTTTCGCCGCACACAAGAGTTAGACATAACTCCGCCGTCATCCTCATTCAACAATGTTACGTTTCCTCCTTTAAACGCTTACTAACCCTTATTCTCTTTAGCAACTGTTCAAAAGATAGTAACCGAAATTCTTCCTGCTAGTTCAGGTCTAGCCTTTGGCAAAGACGCCCGTGACCTCCTAATCGAATGCTGTGTCGAGTTCATCACGCTCATCTCGTCCGAAGCGAATGAAATTTCCGAAAAGGAAAGCAAGAAAACTATCGCGTGTGAACATATTACCAAGGCCTTGGAACAACTGGGCTTTAGCGAGTATGTCAAAGATATTGTGGATGTAGCGAGTGAGCACAAGGAACAATTGAAAGTATGTTAATCTACCCTTGCAGGATGTGCAGAACACATACCAACTAAGCAAAATTACAGGGAAGAGAAAAGAAAGCAAATAAACTCGAACAATCGGGTCTTACAGCAGAACAATTATTGGCAATGCAGGAAGAAGCATTTAGAGATGCGGCGCAACGTCATGGTTGATCTTGTGTTGTTTCTTCTTTTTTCTAGTCTCTTCGCTAAGATCAGGTTCAATTTCGAACTGCTAGGGATGAATTGGGGAGTTTTTTGGTCTGCATGCATGGCTGGTTTGTGGGCGTTTTAGGAGGATGGGCAATTGGGGATGGGAGGGGGTTTATCTTTCTAACTTTCATGTTTGTGAAGTGGATGGAGGTGAAGAAGGGGCAGATTGGAAGTGATTTGCTATTGGTAATAAGAAAGATGGTAGTGAAGGTGGGTTAGACAGATTGAGGCTGTTGCAGGTGGTGGCTTACTTGTTCTTATACAACATTGCGCAAAAACAATAACGTTGATTCAACATGAGTTTTGTGTTTGAACCTTGGGCATTTGCAATTCATTGCTCGTGAGAATATGTGATTTATAATTTGCTTCGTCTGACGAAAAACCTTACACTTATCTGAAGTTTGATGCGAGTTGCTTTGTGAAGTTACCAGCTAAGTTCATACCGGTTACTCATTCGCAGCGGTTGTACAATCAGTCGCGGGTTATGATATATGGGTCCATCAGTCTAATACCAGTTTTATTATTCTCTTAAGTTTTGTGCATATCCAACAAAATTTTCTAAAAATCTGAAGTGCAGTATGACCATCCCCTCTTCACACACTTGTTTGTTACCTAACAAACTCTCATTTTAACCATATCTACAATGAAAATCTTGAAGTTGTTAGATAAATGCTTGAGATTGTGGGCGTAGAGATGAAAATTGGCTCTTACCTAGTAGCTATTGAATGTTAGACGCGTACCCAAAAGAATCTTGACCGAGTAAGAATGGGCAATCCATCTTGGTTCTTTGATCTCCGTTTATTAGCAAGGGAGTTAGCTAGTAGCTCGCTGGGTTGTGTATTATAAATCTGTGGGAAGAGAGGGAGAGGATCAATTGAGACATGATGAAGTTTTAGACTTTAGCCGTTGGTCTGATAATATCCGTTGGTTTTTCTCGATGCGTTTCGTTTATTGTTCTAGCTGGGGTTAACCTATTAGCTGTGGTTGGCATTTGAATGAAAGCAGATTAGGCGCGTTATGAATCGACTTATATATATACACATACTAACAGTTGAATGTATCACCGAAGTAAACATTTGCTAATCTCCTATCCGACTCCAAAGCACCGTGATTGAATCAGCACAAACTGGGTATCGAATAATAATCTCCAGGTTACCTAGTAGTTCACGTATAAATGTGTGTGCTTCAAATCGATTGGAAGGATGATCTCGTTCTATTTTAGATAGGGTTGTGTGGAAGTAATTTGGACTGTGGGCCCAGATTGAAGAATAGCAGAATACGGCTTCGATAAGTTATAAATCGCAGGCAATGTCGGGAGGAACTTTCACCCAGGACATACCATACTCGGTTCAAGCAGGACACGCATCTTCACCTCCGAATGGACTCAAGGATCAAGACACGACATTAAGGCTAAGACCCATACATTCCATCGCTAGAGGAGAGCGCAAGGAAACGATAGACAATCTATAGTTTTCGCTGCAATACAAAACGTAGCAATCCGCAATAGAATTTCATTCTGATTGACAGGAATCTGCTAGCTGTCTCAAGATTCAGAAATCTATAAGCAAACATACATTTTGCGGATTTTCAGTAATACTCGCTGGAGTTTCTGAGGATTGAGATCCGAAACCACTTTTGGTATGTGCTTGAAAGTTTGGACTCAGATATGTTGATGAAAACTTGTATCATTCCTTTTTCAAAAGACTGGGCTGACCAATGGTGTAAAAGGTAAGACGGAGGCCGTCTCCATTAGAGTGAGCGCTCCAATAATCACTCTCAAAAACAAGAAATCACCACTCAGCAATTTTCTATTTCATTCTTCCCCAGCACAATCTACGTATCTCCGTAGATGAAAACTCCCTTTCCACTCCTAAATCCCTCCAAGGTTCCTCTCACTGCCGACTTCAACACATCCTCCTTTGTCTCCCAATCCCACTTGAGTTCTTGAACCGGAATATCCTTAAACATGCCTAATCTCGTCATCTCCAAAATTTCATCGACCGTTTTCTTCTTCTCATCTGGATGACTATCACTCCACCTACTAACCCAATAACCACTAAACTTGATGTCCTTGAAGATCAAAGCTGCAGTAGGAAGCATCAATGGTTTCTTAGACATTCCTCCATACGTAACCAAATGACCACCATTACTCAAACACTTCACCAAAGCACCTGCGGGTTGTCCACCCACACAGTTCAATCCCACACGAATCTTTTCCCTGCCTCCATTCGTCCACTCCTTAACCTGATCCCTGAAACTTTGATCCATCAATTCCGACTCGGTCACCACCTTCGTGGCACCCAATTCCAATAATTCTTTCTTCATCGCCTCAGTCTCATCAGCATTCTCGCGATCTCGTATAACATTGATACTCTTATATCCCCACCTCTTCCCCAACTGTATGGCTGCTCTCCCCACCCCACTATTCGCACCATTTTGTATGAACCAATCGCCCTCCACCATACTCTCGAAATCCCTTAACATTCTATAAGCCGTGCACGGATTAACGCTCACAGTGCCGACCTGAATGGGCTTCAGTCCCTCTTTGTTGCCAATCTTGAGAACCTGGGATTCCTCCGCTATAGCATGTGTGCGCCATGTTCCAAATCCAGTCGATTTCATAATCACCCAGTCGCCTTTCGAAAGAGTTGATATGCCGGGACCGAGAGACATGACTTCGAAACATCCTTCATTGCCGCCCACGGCCGAGGGAGATTCGGTCCCGAGGAGACTGGTGAAGGGAGGTTTGGAGGGGTAGACACCTTGGATTTGGTTTATGTCGGCGGGGTTAATGGGGGTCGCGAGAGTACGGAGGAGAATAGATTTTGAAGGAAGAGAAGGGGAGATGGAGTGATTGTGAAGACTAGAAGTTTCTTACTATTAGCTATATTCATGAACACTTGAGGTAAATGCATATGCAAACATAGACAACGGATAGAAAGTAGATAGTGTCAGGAAAACTCACGATAAGACATCCGCCGGCTCCCCATACTTAGAATACACAAGTGCTTTAGCTTGTGTATAACCATATGGACCAGATTTATATCTGCGAGCCACCAAGCTCCCCAAGCGATTCTGTTTACATTGTTTGCTCAACACACCAGAAATCAAAGCTCCTCTCGAGCTTATTGCTGTGGCGGAGCTAGCTAAAGCTCTACATTGAACAGGACTCGCCATGTTCAATTGTTCGTTCCGAAGGATCTTGTTTGATGATTTGGAGTGTGCACGAAAAAGAAAAGGATGAATTGGTTGATGGGAGAATTAATGAATGTAATATTTCCACTCATTTATTTCACATCACATTTATTATATCAGATCAAATCCAATCTTGTCCATCCATACATCCGCGGCTTTGATAAAAGTTTATGACGTTTATTGCCGCAGTTTCCCATTCATTGGTGCATCACAACCACCCAGCCCAGCCTTGTTAGACAGCTGGAGAACCACAGAACCACAGAACCACAGAACCACAGAACCACAGAACCACAGAACCACAGAAGCCACAGAAGCCACAGGGCCACAAAGCTTGTAAATACAGGGATTTCCCTCCCACTATAACCCCCGAAATCGAACCCTCTTCAGCCTCACGTAGCCTCACATAATGTCATATAATGTCACATTTATAGGGTGGACTACAGTGTCTCAGTGTTACAGATAGCACGTGGCGCGGATCTAGCTTGATACTCAGTAGCTCCAGGCACAAATGAAATGATGATAAGACGAGACCCTGAATTAGATTGAGAATTAAAATTAAAAAAAAACCCTTGGTCTTTTGGCCATTTTTCTCAAACACCATCATGCAAAATGGGGAAAAGAAGGTTCGAGGTAGGGATTTGGAGTTTCCTGATGATAATGCATATTGATATGAAACATCAATGGATGAAGGAATACAATCAATCATACATCACATACAATCTATAGATATCTATAGATACGAAAAGGCTTCATTCAGATAAATGAGATCAATGGTTGGTTAAAGGGAAAGGGGGAGACCAGGAGAAGCAAGAGATACACCACACACATATAGAGACAGAGACAGAGAGAGAAGCCTTCACTACAGAGTGCTATTACAGAAAATCAATATCTTATTCGAGTAAAAAGGGCCCTCCGACCATGCAAATCCCCTACTGTATTTTGTTCAGAAAAGGCTAATAAATAAGAGTATTTTGATACCCCAAGAATAAACTATCATGGCACATGAAGCCAACATTAAAATGTTGTTTTGTTTGATACTGTAGTCAGCGTAAAACAAGACCCCGATAAAGACCACCGCCCAGAGATATCATCGATAAAAAGAAGGGCGCCCTGCCAAACAAATGAAAAGATAAAATAGCATTTTTGTCCCCCTCTCAAGCTTGGTACATAGTACATGAGATTCCTGCTTCCCTTTCGTGCCCTCCCCTCCACATCTCTCGGTCCGTATCGTTGGAGATATAAGTATGGATCTCATCCGAGCATTCTACCAGTGCTGTAGCGAGTTTTGGGTCGTAACAGATAGCAATACCCAAAGGTATCATTTGGATTCTCATAACCGTCTCGCATGAATATCTGACTACGAGATATTCCTGAACATGTCATCACCCCCAAAACTACCACGATCATCATCCGCAAGCTTAGCCTTCAATTGATCGAGTTCCGGCAATTTTGGCGGCGGCGGGCTAGGCTTCTTGTATGCTGGCTTGATATTCTCTTTTCGAATCTCTGGACTCTGCTGTAGGGTAGGAGTATACACTACAGGCTTATTTTCATATACCACACTGTTCCTCTTACTGCTGCTCCCAAAACTCCTAAACCAGCTTCCACTCTTTCGCTTCACAAAGCTAGGTCTGCTGCTTGCAAGACTATTTGGACTCTCCGGTCTCCCCATCTTTGTTAAATCCTCATGCGATTTCGCATTCCCATTTGTGTAATTAGTGTTGAGTGATTTCCGAGACAAGAATTTGCGGATACTACTTTCTTTTTCGGGTCGACTAGGACTATTCGGGACAGCAGCGTCTGAAGGGGCTCTCACGCGAACTGGAGGAACATGATTGCGAGGAGATGAGGAGGTAGGTGGGAAATAACCATTGGATTTCGTCGTGGT